TAAAACACCAAGGTGACAGGATGGTCTAAAGATTCCTTTGGCAGAACTATGATGTTCTCATTAAAGTAAAATATGACTGGATAACAGTGCATGTTCTTCAGCTCATATATACTCCCTGGGATCCTGTTTCACTAATAATAGTCCCATAATTACTCAGATGGGATAAGACTATCTATGAAAGGAGAAGCAGCAGGATCATTTCAGAACTCCCCAGGGCACCAAACCTACCTAACCAAGAGCTGTTAGGACAGCTGAGTAGTGGGCTGTTAATGATTTGAAAGTGAGTGGTCCTGTATGTGGTGGCTCTCTCTTTGCGTGTGGTGTGCAACACCTAAAAACGGAATGTAATAATCAGGATCCAATACAATGAGAGCTCGGTCCCTATTAAGCAATTTCACTGATCTGACTGAATTTTCACTCTTTCCAGATTTATTAAATTGGAAATACTAGATGTGCTTTATCTCCAAATACATTCTAGAAATAGGCTAGCGGTTCCTTTCATTAAAACACCTCTCAAATATTCTATATTTTAATACTTAGAAACTAACTTTAAAAAAAAAGATTTTATTTATTTATTTGACAGAGAAACACAAGCAGGGGGGGAGTGGGAGAGGGAGAGGGAGAAGGAGGTTCCCCGCTGAGCAAGGAGCCCAAAGCAGGACTCAATCCCAGGACCCTGGGATCATGACCTGAGCCGAAGGCAGACTTAACCGACTGAGCCACCCAGGCGCCCCAAAACTAACTTGTTTCTGTAACTTACATTGAAACAGCATATTCTGACTTTGGCTGTGTAAACTTTATGACAGCTTTTCAGTTAAAGTAGTAAATAATGACATAAAAAATACATAATGCTCCATGAGCAAGTTGGAGTTTCATGCTCAAGTTCTTAAAAGTAAAATCCAGTAATTCTCTTCTGATTTGAATACAAGGATCCTAGACGGTATTATGATAGTGATGTTAACAGTTGACGTATTTTGTTTTAGGGAATCAGAGCAAGACTAATTAGTACATGGAAAATGTTTAGTGATTCACTTGAAAAGGAGTTAAATGCTTCACTTTCAAATACTTAAATTCCTTGTTTGAAGTAACAGGTAATATAAATTTAGGTTTCAGCTAACTGATAAATTATAAAGCTACTAGTAAGACTCATCATTTTATACTAATAAAACATAAATGGAAATATCTTGGAAATACACTTAGGTAATGTCAATCTATTTGTTTACAACAAAACCACAAATTTTTACTTGAAGTTTTTAAGTCCAAATGTTTAGACGAACTACCTAGAAAGTCTGGCACTTCATTCCAGCCTCTTTCTCATTTTTGAGGTATGCTGGGCTAATATGAACAAAGTATTCTTTGATATTACTATCTGAAATCCTGACTTGAAAGCCCATCACCAAAAAGCCTTTTCTTTTGTTTTTTAAATTTTATTTATTTAATTGACAGAGAGAGAGAGAGAGAGAGAGAGAGAGAGAGAGACAGCGAGAGAGGGAACACAAGCAGGGGGAGTGGGAGAGGGAGAAGCAGGCTTCCCGCCGAGCAGGGAGCCCGATGCGGGGCTCGATCCCAGGATCCTGGGATCATGACCTGAGCCGAAGGCAGTCGCTTAACCAACTGAGCCACCGAGGCGCCCTCAAAAAGCCTTTTCAACACAATCATATGTAACTAGGTCATACTTACTAGGGTCTTGAACCGAACTTCCCAACTGACACCTGTGGGCTGGGAATGGATTACAGGTGTGTGGAGACGGGGACCACCTCAGCCCTCAGTGGGCCTACCATGCTGCTGCTAGCACCTCCTCTAGTCCCCACCAAGGTGCTGTACAAATATTGCCACTTTCTTTGTATGCCATACATGAAAAAGGTTAGAAAGCACTGAGATCGTGTTTTCATTTCAGAAAAACTGGACTTACTTCTTTCTTTGGTGTTTCTTGTGATAAATCCATCAACCTCAATAGCTCTCAAACCTGACGGACAAAAAAAAATCACCTGCGGACATTTAAAACCAAAGGCAGGGCTGGGCTCTTGGCAATTCTAACTGGGGACTCGAGGAGAGAGGGCCCTGAGTACTGCCCTTTCTTTCCGTCTTTCTGAAGATCCACTGATAGTTCTGACAGGAAATCAGCCTTGATAACCATGGTTCCCATCTTGGCACTAACTCAAGTAACTGAGGACTAATTCAACTGTCCCCCAGTAAAGACTTTTTCAAGGTCTTGATGAGTCAGTACTAAATGTTAATCAAGCTATCTGCACAAATATCAAAAGATGAAAAATTCCAAACTAATTATCTAAACACAAGTATTACATTTCCATTAAAATAACTATCTTTGTATGAGATATAGCGTTAAGATATTAACCCCCTTAAAAAAAAATCAACTGAATCTCATTATTAATAATACTGGTGGACTCAGCAGAATCATGGGGGACATGGGGTGTCAGGAATCCAACTTCCAGTTGTTCTATTTATCTAGCAACTCCTAAATATTAGTTTCAAGTCTTTATATTAGAAATTAGACCAGCTACTAATGCAGAAGGAACAGGATATTCTAACTCATGAGATAAATGCTCCTGAATAATTTTGGGGTAAACAGCAGGAAAGAGAAAGATTAGCAGTGAGCAGAGCCAAGACAATCATTCATATAATTTATCCTTGGAAAAGATTAATTCTTGAATCCTCCTTTAAGTATAAGAAGTGGTTAAGTAGAATCACAGACCTGTACCTCTGAAACAAATAATACATTATATGTTAAAAAAAAAAAAAGAAGAAAAAGAAGATAGCAGGAGGGGAAGAATGAAGAGGGGGAAACTGGAGGGGGAGACGAACCATGAGAGACGATGGACTCAGAAACAAACCGAGGGTTCTAGAGGGGAGGGGGGTGGGGGGATGGGTTAGCCTGGTGACGGGTATTAAAGAGGGCACATTCTGCATGGAGCACTACATCAAAAACTAATGATGTAATGTATGGTGATTAACATAACATAAAAAAAGTGGTTAAGTAGTGGCTTAATTGGTCTTTAAAAAGTTTATGTAATAAATCATCTAGAACTGTGTTGTCCGACAGAACTTTCTATGATGATAAAAATGTTCTATATTGGTGTAGCCCAATATTGTAGCCATGTGACTCTTCAGTCCTTTAAATGTGGCTAGTATGACTGGGGAAAAGAATTTTACTTTTATAAAAATATAACTATTTTAAATGTAAATTTAAATAATCACAAATGGCTAGTGGCTATGATATTAGACAGTAGGCTTAGAAATTCTAGACAAGTAAGTTTGATCTAATTTTTTCCCTGATCTGGATCTTATTCCCAGAAGGGGAAAACATTTGGTCAAGTTCTGTCTTGTAACTGAGTTTGAGTCTGAATGCTGTGCTAACAGCGTCCTTCTTTTTGGGAGGAAGCCGTCTGAGATGACTCCTATCTACCCTACAGAGCTTTTGTCCTGATAACCAATGAGAAGCCTCATTTCTGTGCTGTCATTTTCTATTTAAATGGAAAATGGACTTTTCCCAAGTTCCTAATGACTTCTTAGGAAAAGAATTTTTAAGGATGAGAATCTGTCTTAACAATAGCAAAAACCCCTGATGGCCTAATCACTGAAGAATTCATTTCTCAAGAATGTCCTCCTGCGTCTAGATCAATAAACTCTTAAGAAGTGTGGCAAGACTAAAACGCTAAAGAATTTGACATGCCTAGGGTGAAGCTTTGAGGAATGCGGGGTTCTTTATAAACAGGTCATTTAGATAATGACAATGTAAATGCCTTAGACTCTCACTCTAGGAACATCTCAAAGTGCAAGAACCTGAGATTGAAGGGTATGACTACCTATTGAAACTACTCATTGTTTAACAGGGAGCAGGGAAATTTGAAGTGACTTTTTAAATAGAGGAATGTAAATAAGTCTCTTTATAACTGATGGGGCAAAGTATGGAGGTCTATTACTGTGAAAATTTTAAAGCAATCTGAATAAACTGTCCATGCTATATAGGTTCTCTAAAAGTAAACTTAGGGAAAATATTACTAATATATTCAGAAGAATCAATGGTACTTTAAAAGATGCCATTAGACAATGTATTTTCTCTTTTTCTTCAAGGGAGAAAGATGGATTAAAAAAACAAAAAACAAAAAAGGGACAACAAACTGGGACACTAATATAGGAGTCAAACATATCTGACATTCCCTTAAAAGAAAAAGCAGAAGCATTTCTAAACTGGCTAATGCAGTAAGTACTGGCTTCAGGATCACTGATAAGGCCCACTTATTGAGAAACATTATAAAAATAACCTGAACCCAGCAGGAAAAAAGGAGGGTAATCTCTATACTCACAACCTCATTTAAATTGCTGAATTTTTAGAGCCTCCATTTTGAGAAATATATATACCTCTGATATGTTTTGAAGAAAACTTCGAAGGTCCCAGGTAATGTCTTTCTAAACAATTTACTTATTTAATTTATTCACAGAGAGTTTCACCCCTTTTTACCAAGGGTCTTTTAAGCTTTTTTTTTTAAATTAAAATCCTTTTGGCTACAGGATGAACTTTACAGATCTGATTTTTACTTCAGTAGCTTAAACTATTTTCCTTATTTAATGACTCATTCTTTCTTTTTCATTTTTTATGAGCCAAGGTGACATTTTAGTGCTCTATAAAAAAGCAAAGTTACATATCAATATCCACTATACTAAGAGGATTTAAGGACTCATTTTTAATCACTGTTCCTTTAGGTTCAAGGAACAGATTATTATCTGATGCTACTACCATCTTTATTCCTGGGATTCACAGGAAACCAGAAATATTAAAAGAACTCAAAATTCACTTTGTAAAAACGTATTATTGTGGATATGATGTTTCATATGGTTATATTTTTCTCTTCTTTGCATGGATTTTAACGATACCATTCTTAATTTTTAAAAAAGATTTTATTCATTTATTTGAGAGAGAGAGAACAAGAGAGAGAAGGAGTGTGGGGGAGGGGCAGAGGGACAGGGAGAGGCAGAAGGAGACTCTGCGCTGAGCACGGAGCCCCAGGTGGGGCACTGGGCTCTCCTGGGCTCAGCCCAGGAACCTTAGCTGAAGACATATGCTTAACCGACTGAGCCACCCAGGTGCCCCACCATTTTAAAGGGACAAACATTCCAAGAGTGAAAATCTGGTATCTCTGGTTAGTAAAAAAGGTGTTCGTTTTGTCTGTGGGTAAATCTGCTTGAAAATATATTTGAGCTTTATTATTTTTCTTTAATTTTTTTAAAGATTTTATTCATTTATTTGACAGAGAGCGATAGGGAACACAAGCAGGGGGAGTGGGAGAGGGAGAAGCAGGCCTCCCGCGGAGCAGGGAGCTTGATGCGGGGCTTGATCCCAGGACCCTAGGATCATGACCTGAGCTGAAGGCAGACGCTTAACCGTCTGAGCCACCCAGGCGCCCCTAATATATCTGAGCTTTAAATCAAAGTTAAAATATCTTCTAAATATAAGGACCTGGGTTTTATTAATAGCAATTGTATTCTGAGTGACAACTGGTACTGAGTAGCAGATTTCCTACCATTAATTTAAAGATTTATCAGCTTATGTTTTAACTACATAATCACACTCTTAAGTCAATCTTAAAAATGATTTTGGCATTTTTGCTCAACTTTATTTCCTTCCTGGGCTTTGAAAATAATTAAAGAATTCTACTTTGTAAGCACTAACTTCCTGCCTTACACACTGAGCTCTATAAATCTTTGCTGAACATTCTGAAAAAATTAATAAAAATGAGATAGAAACAAAAGCTAGTCATTGAGCTATAAAAATATTTGCTTTTGTAAATACAAAATAGAACTCTATAAATATTGTGCATTTAGGAGGGGTGGCGAAATTGTTTTCATTTTCCCATCTTGTTAGATAGGAAAATAGAAGAACTCCATTAATTTTGAAGGAAGTCAAACAGATTTAGGAAAAAAGGAAAGAAAACTCCTTAATACAGTGTACTCAACCCAGCTTTGTGATTTTGGGTAAGGCATTAAACCTGACTTATGGGAACAAATGTAACTGGCCCACATGCTACAGAGGGTATATATAAGCACCCAGGTGTGATGACAATGCTCTGGACTGTAAAGTGTTACTTAAGCTGTAGGATGAACAGGTACTGGACAGGTGTACAGTGTAGAGAATGGGATAGCTTTTATTTATTTATTTATTTATTTATTTATAAAAGATTTTATTTATTTGACAGATAGAGACACAGCGAGAGAGGGAACACAAGCGGGGGGGGAGTGGGAGAGGGAGAAGCAAGCTCCCCGCCGAGCAGGGAGCCCGATGTGGGACTCGACCCCAGGACCCCGAGATCATGACCTGAGCTGAAGGCAGATGCCCAATGACTAAGCCACCCAGGCGCCCCGGGATTGCTTTTAAAGTAGTATTGAGAAACACTGACCTGCTGGCTGGAGAAAATGGGCTCTAGGGTAGGAAGTGTTTCACAGGCTGGGGTGGTGGTGGTAGAGGAGTGAAGGTTTGAACGACAAAACAAAGAGACCTTATTTTGTAGCAAAAAGTTTGGGAAATTTTTGGAGTTAGCTGAAAGACATAATGTGGCAGGTGCTTTTAATTTGCCAAGATTTGTGATTAAATGGTAACGAGGAGCTTATTTGTACAATTAAGGGTGTTATGATGGCCTCTATTATCCTTACTAAACACCATGCAGATATTGTGTATTCAGCTAAAATAACCTGTTCAGATAGTTCTACAGAATCTCACAATTTTCCTGTTTTCAGTAAAACTGTTCTGAAAGTACTTTAAATTTGAGTTTCATGGTATTTTAAACTTGAACTGTGGTGGTGTTGGGCAGATAAAATATTAGGAGAACATATTGTAACTATAGGAAGCTGTCGGACTTAACTCTTCTGTTTTTATAAATTTGTAAAATTTCCACGCTTAGAGTGGCGGAATAACAGAACTGTCATACCTTGGATCCTTCTAGGTAGGCTGCCATTGGTTTTTCTTTTCATCCTCTAGGCAATCAGACCATCCAAGACTGGTGTCAGGTTCTCCCAAACATAGCTGGAGGAGAAGACTGGGTTCCACTTTTTTCTTTTCTCTTGAGGGCTTAAACCACTTTGAGTTCTAGGTCTAAGCCAATAGCTAAAGTAAAGGTCCTGACCCTTCTCAAAGCCCAGGGAGCTCTTCCCCAAGGATGATGAGTTCAATACATGTTACACCAATGATGTTAAAGGTTAACAATATTTTGAACCATTTCTGCTTTTAGTTTTTTGGTCAGGGAACTGAAGGATAAGATGACAATTCAAATTTTGGACACGTTGGGGTTGTACTGAAGGCAGAATGAGAATGTCCAAGTGCAGATTTCTACAAGCAACTAGAAACACATAACTGGAAAGGCAGAGTGAGAACTTTTAGATACCTTCTGTGCCCTTCTCCACATCCTATTAGCCCATCTTTTATTTCCATTCTTGCTGAGCCAACAATCACTTTGTGCATGGGAACCCACTAGGTGCTCATGTCTGCATAACCTCAATATGCTGGAGAGAGTCTTGAGGCAGCCCTTGGCCACAGGAGGACGGGAGTACAAATGCTCCACCTCCTGTTGTTCAGTGGGGCAAGTCTGCAGTGCTTCTTTCATCAACAAGTATCAGTCAGATGAGGCCCAAGTTGCCTCTGGCAGTTGATAATATATTCCCTCCTTCCCTGCTCACTTTCTTTACTCCTGTACCTTGGTATCACTTCCCAAAGTAAACTTCCTGAGAACAAGCCCGTATCCAGGCCATCCACACCACAGACTCTGTTTCCTGGGAGAAATCCAGGGGTTAGAAATGAATACAACTAAGAGACAACTAGTAAAATGATGTGTAGATGAATGCTTAGATGAGAGAACACTAAAAACCAGAGAACTTCTACGACGCCTGGGTGGCTCAGTCAGTTAAGCATATGACTCTTAATCTCAGTTCAGGTCTTGATCTCAGGGTCATGAGTTCAAGCCCCACGTTGGGTGTGGAGCCTGCTTAAAAAACAAAAACAAAAACAAAACCCAAACCAGAGAACTCCCCCAGTTAAGGTTGAGATGAGTGAAAACAGTTAGCAAAAAGGGATAGATTAATTACTAGTAAGAAATAGGAAAACCATGATAATAATGTATAGGCAGTGGACAGGCCAAGAGATCAGAGTTAACACAAAGAATTTTCAATTCTAATCTACCCACTGTCTATTTATTTATATATGATGTCATACACTGCTTAAGAATTTTCTGGGGATTATCTCCCTCTCCCCACGACTTCTGTGATCAAATATGCAGAGGAAGGGAGAGACAGAAAAAGAAGAAAGGAAGAAGGAGGTATAAGGGAGAGAGAGAAAGGATCGCTCTTAATAGCAAGGCATAAGAAAATACAGATATTCTTCATCATGTAACTAGTAGCATTGTTAAATAACATACTTTAATTTTTCCAGTTTCCTTAGTTTGCTTTTGCCAAAAGCCTATTCTATATCCCCTAGAAACATGATCTCTCCATCATCCCTGAAAACAGAAGTTCCAAGACCCCTTGAAATATTAGAGAAAATGGGATCTTGCTTAACAGCTCCACAGAATGAAGTTGCTGAATTGACAGGAACAATGAAAGCCATCAAGAATCTTTTCAATCATCTTGTTAGAATTTTTTTCCCTTATAGGAAAGCTGTCTTTCATGAACACAAAGAACAAAATGCAAAAAAGTATTCTTCGATTTTTACCTTGAATGGTTTCAGTACCAATTACATACATTCCGTTAATTGTTCCTTTCTACATTTCTCTTGGCATAAGTATGTTTAAAAGTGGTCAGATTGTGTCTACATAAGAGTTTTCTTTCATTATAGTTCCTTGAAAGGATATCGCAATGCTACTACAAAACTTTTGCAAATTAGGAAGTTTAGCTTACTCTTCAAGATGTTTTAAAAGTTAGTATTAAACCAAAATGAGTTTATCTTCCCCACAAGCATTTGAGGATACTTAAAAAAAAATGTACTGATAAAATAAGACGAAGATTTCGCTATTGAGTCTTGCAAATCTTAAACATTTTTGTACAACAAAGAACACCAGAGGTATGCGTGGGCTGTATTTTTCTTTTATTGTACTATGGCAAACTGGTTTGTCAGGAGAAATTTCCAGTTTTTCTTTGAGAATTTGAGGATAATGAGATCCTTTCGTCATCTGATGTTAAAGAATATACTCTTTGATGCTATATTCAGAAACCTGACTTAAGTGTGTTCTAGCAGCAGGGAGACAGCTCTAGCTTGGTAGAGGTAAATCAGTTTCATTAATTATTGGAACAGAGGCATATTCTTTTCACAAAGAACTTTTGAATACATGGGGAAGAGGCAATCCCCAACACAAATGTGGCTGATTCCTTTCCCATTCCCAAGCAAATGTTTCTGGTACAAGTAATTATGATGATTCCTGAAGGGAGAGGGGTAAAGGCAGAATGCCATAATTTTAAGGGCAATTTGTAAAAGCACATTCAATGTTACAATTTTATATCTGAAAGATGAAAAAAATACTTGCTGCAGTACCAGTGCAAGTAAAGCTCAGATCTGTAGAAGCCAAATTCCATTTTCTGTAGCAAGTATTCTTAAAGGAGGAGGTTGGCCACAGGAGGGCTACAATAAAATCAGAGGGGGTGAGGAGCCGTGGTGCTGGAGAGGGTTGGTTATATGTTTAGTTTGCCCACAAGGGGGCAGCACACCGACAAAAGGCTTGTGAAGCCCAGCTTCAAGTTCTCTGATCCTTGTGCCCATTCCTACCTACCCTCCTCATTCCCTAGTCTCAGTTCATAGCATCTCATTTTGTTATCCCTGCCTACATGGCAAGCTGGCAGGAAGGTTTTAGGAAGAAGAGAAAGAGAACATCATCTAAATTTTATCACGGTTCCTTTTTACTCACTAGCAGGGAGAGTTAGAAAAAGCATGTGAGGAAGAAAGGAACAAAGGGAGGGAGGAGCTAAAATAGGGGTGAGGAAAATGGATAAAGGAATGGAAAAACATGCTCATTTCCCCATTCCTGTTCATCTTCCCTTCATGACTGACCAAAGAGTTAGGTACTCACTCATTTTCTAAACAGAACCTGGATGAGGTACATGAAGTATAACCAGTTAGGATTACTGTATGTTCACAGGCTATCTTAAAATTCACAGTGACAAATAAACCTAGGCTGGTCTTAATAAAGGTAGACTGTGAAAAGTCTACTAACTGGGCTGTACAAGCACAAGCAGACGATAATAGGATGCTTCAGAATGAAATAAAAAGTAGAAGAAAATTCTACTGTATAATTAGTATAGCTTTTTTATTGTTAAAAACACTTCAGTACAGGACTCATCTTCAAAATGGTGCTCAATTAGAAGCCAAATTATATTGCTCAAGCTATAGGGACCAGGAGTCAAGATTTTTGGACTGATTGTGTAACATGCAGATCTTCAGAATTTCAGAGAAGGCACTTTAATTTTTTATTTGTTGTAAGCACTCTGGTAATATCAGAAGTGAATTTACCTCTGAAGCAGCTCAGAGACTATACTTGGCTCTATTTTTCATGAACAGTGATAGGAATTAAGAGAATTTCCATCAATAGAAACTTTATTTTGACTTTCTCACAAGGGGTAGGAGAAAGACTACATTTTGTTGCTGGCCTTAGGTTATTCTAATGATTTATTTGAGCTAGAATAAGTATTGAAAGTGGGTATTAATTAGTATATGTTCATTTGGTATGATATGTAGTATAAAATGTGACTGGAGCCTTTTCCTCTGACTTTCAGATTTTAAAATCTACTTTTCAATTTGTAGTTATATAAAAAACCAGGCAACCAATAATGCTAATAAAAACAACAGACTTGTTAATCTAAAATAGGTTACTGGCAGTAACAAGATTAGAAGCTGGAAATGTTTTTGTTTTTTTTTTTAAAGCTGGAAATGTTTGAGTGAATGAAAAAAATTTCATTAAAATTCAAAATTAAGAATTTTTTATATAACTTAATAACCTTACTACTGATATAAAATAAAATATAGAACAGTTCAAAAGTAAATATTTCATTTACATTAAATGTAATTATTTAAAACCATAAAAAAACTTTCATTTATTTAAAGAGAGATTTTCTTTAGGAAACCTTAAGGTATGATACATATATTTAGGCATATCTGAGTTTCTGGGCAAAGCCACCACCTTGTTTCTATATATTGTCTAATTACAGTCTAAAAATGGCCCATTTTTTCCCAAGAGAAATAGTCTTATTTCGATTGTGCAAATAAGCATTCAAACAATAACTGTAATTCTTTTCATTACCACAAAATCTCTGCTGACATGTAGAGGGAATAGAGTGGATCAATGAAAAATTGAGATTTTTGGAAGCCACCTACCCTACAGGACCATTCAGATGGTCCTTTCCAACAGCACAGGCTCAGCAGAGCATGCTTAGAGAGGACCAAGGGGAATAGAAACTTTAGTCGGATCTGGGTCTCTTGGGCAAAGGGGAGAAACAGAGATCAACCTGGGAAAAGGAGCTGAGGAAAAGCATCTTAGTAGCAAATGGTGGTATCTTCAATATATTTACCTGAACTTTCCAGGTTTTTTTTTTTTTTTTTTAAGTTTATTTATTCAAGTGATCTCTATGCCCAACTTGGGGTTTGAACTCACAACTGGGAGATCAAGAGTCACATGCACTGACTGAGCCAGCCAGGAGCCCCCTGTGATTTTCTAAAGGTCTGTGTCTCTGTAATTCCAGTTTTGATTTATTGAGGTACAAGTAACAAATTACAGCAAACCACTAGGTTTATTTCCAGAGATACTATATAACTTCAGATTCACATTTATATCCTTGTTTTTTAAACCTAATTTTTGTAGTATCCCATTATTTTTCAGAACTATCTCTACCTTTATAGGCAAAGGAGCTTTTATGAAAGTTATTTACCATGTATCTTGGAGGCTTTCTGGCAATGTCACATTTTGAGGGAAGACTTATGTTTACCATTTCATTGGCTAACCTGTCTTTATTATATTGCTTTCAAAGTGTACAACGTAACACCGTGGTTAAATTTCAATAGTACCAGTCCCTGGAGACTGGAATTTGGAGTCATGAGATGTTGATTTCTAAAGCATTCCTCATAGGCAAAATCATTATGAAAACATGTTGTGAGAAAATAAACTACATATTAAGAAAAGTATATTTCTTTTAAAAATTAAAAAAAAGGACTGAACATCTTTTAAAGGGTTATCCTAATGCAAAATCCCTCTTTAAATATAACTAAATTAAAGCAGTACATTATTGTTTTATTTGAAGCAGGGAACTATAAATATGTAAACATCTGTCCTACATCCTTTTCCATAGTAACTTTTTTCATTTGGTAAAAATGTTCAAGTTTGAACATTTTGAAACAAACTAAAACAAGTTATGGCTTAATTTATATAGATAAAAAAATGCATTCACTGGAAGAAATTCTGTGTAAGAACATATCAAAAATTCTCATCAAATTAAAATTAAATATTGAGAGAGTTTCATAAAAACTAAAATATGGAAGTGTCAGTCCCTATTCATGAACTGCCATTCACCCTAACCATCCACACCCATTGCTACCCCTGAGATAATTCGAGGAACGGTAGGCCACTGTAAAACTGACTCTACATAGCTTAGCACAGACCAAACACCAGGAGGAGATGGCAAACAAGGACCCAAGTTACACAATTAAAAATGACCATCACACTCTTCACCCATAGTTAAACTTCCCTTTGGGAAGTTCCCTCTTGGTCTTCCAACAAGGCATTCACGGCTTGGTACCTATTTGTTTAATTAGGTCAGCTCCAAGCGGAGAGAAGCCTTAATGAGTATGAGTGTTCTTGGGATAAGAAAAGGGAAGTCTAGAGAATTCAGGCTCTCAATTTTCTGGTGACCCAGTATCTGTATTGCCCCTAACACTCACAACTGTCCTTTGTACTTGTTTTTTTATTTTGTTTTATATTTCTGAATTCCCCCTGTTAAGAATCTTATTCTGTCACTTGAAAAAGTCATGCTATTAGCTCTAAATGAATAAAATATCGGAGTAGCCTGGAAAACTGCACTACATTTCAAAGGTTCTATTAGGTATTATAAGCAAAAAAATTCTACAAATCCCACCTGGTGATCCAAATATATGGTGTTCCTTTGAAGATGATGTGAAAGAATTTCATTCTAGTAGGCATCAATCAAGAAACAAAGGGGATAGAGAAAGAGGGTGTAGAATTCATGAAAAGGTCAATTTTGAAATAAAAAAACAGGTAGTTTACCCCAACCTACTATGTCACAGTACACAACTTTCACAGACATGCTCCCCTGTAAACTGTACAGATGACATATTAAATTATAAAAATCACACTTGGTTTTATAAGAAATTAAGTAGACATGCACAGAAGCTAAGATATTAAGCAGAAAAATCCTTCAAATGGCTTTAGCAGACTCAGTGTTACAAGTTTTACATGTTAATACTTTTCTGCGACATAGAACTACACTTCTTTGGATGTTTCTCATATAACCAGAGGCTATTAAACCCTTTGAGAAATGTTTACGTGTGTTCCTTCTTTTAATCAAGAACAAAACAAATATCTTGAACTTAATCTCTGACATTTAAAAGGCAGTATTATTACAAGTATAACGAATTTTCAACTTACTACTTTCCAGTAAATTATAGGATTTTTCAATATGCTTTATCAGATGTGGAAGCTACATATACGGTGAATGATAACCCTGTTTTGCAGTCTGTATGTGTTTCCTATCTCACGACCAGAAGCTGGTCGGTGGGTGAGCGGGTTGGAAGGCTAGGAAGAATTTCATCCTACCCCTATCTCCCTTTAATGACGTATAAGTGAAATCTCAAAGGGTCAATAAGAGATCATAATGTCGCTGCAATGATTGCATGGGCTCATGCTTGACACCAATGACACCGATCAAACTGATAAATGAGTGGCTCAAAGTGAGTGGTAATGGGAGACGACACATACAAAACTCTTCATAGCTGACCTTTGGGCTGTGGGCCTCAAGTTTCAGCTGCATGAGCTGTGCTAGCGTATGGTCCCGGACACTGTTCAGTTCGGCCTGCTGCCGTCTCAGCTTTATTAGCAGCAGCGTAAGCTCCTCTGGCTGAAGGAGTACAATTTAAGAATCCAAACAGTGGAAAACAGATTAATTGTTGTCTTAAGTGACAGATATTAAACCAAGATTTCTTGGCAAGTTTCCTCTTATGGTTGACATCAAACATAGTGCCGAGGCACTATGAAGAGAGGTCCTACATAAATGCATAGATATCTAGAGAGATAGAAGGAACAGTGTTACTTAGAAGATACAGCAAAACAACAGTGTATTAAGGCATTTTCTCAGAACTCAAGAGAGAATATTTAAATGTTAAGTATAAAAAAACACAATGCCAGAAAACCATTATAAAGGTTTGTACATAAGAGCTATTATTAAAAGATATTTTAAAATGACACCTAAGACTTTCACAGCAACAGAACAATACCTGCATGTTCAACACTCTATTTTAGAGAACAGAAGGCAAATAAAAAGAATTAAAATTCATGTAAAACTTGGATGATATCTTCATATCATTAAACTAAGTACCTGGGATCTATTAATTGCTTCCCAGTTATATTTTTAAATGTCACTGTCAGTGTGTTCACAGGATATTTTAAATGACCAAAAGATCAGTTTTTATTTTTTAAGAAAAAAAAAAAAAAGACAGCACTTACTACAAACAGAAACATTCCTTGAGTATATAAACCCTCCTCCCACACTCTGGGGAAAGCAGAGAACCTTTTGATTTTTGATTGGTTACTATGATCCCTAAGGGAGATAAATTTTCAAAGGCAGAGATAACATTCCTTAACAGGCCAATCTGATATATTTTTCTTTGTTAGAAATGCAATAAAGTATGGTCATTGGCAATCTTACAGGTCATAAAATATTATTTGGTGTTTCTCTGAACTTTGTTATGATTAAAAACTGCAGATGGGCCAGAGGGAGACTCTCATCACCTAAGGGCTACGGTGTGCTCTTAAAACTTCCAGGCCAAGAAGCGTTCCTGAGATTGATCTGTCTTGCCTATACCACAGTGCTAATGCTAGCTCTCTTCTGTTCTGTTCATTTGCTATTGCTCTTTATTTTCTACACGACGCTTCTATACAACGCTTTTAAGGGACAGAAATAATTTTTAACTGTTATCTGAAATTATATTCAAAATTATTGCCTTCAGGTGAGAAAAATATCAGAAGTAAACTATAGTTACTATAGGATTCTTTAGAAAGAGCGATCTACATGGATGAGACAACAGTCTTTTATATTAAAGAGTCAAAGAACATGTATGTGTGGGACTTGAAGAAATTTCACAACAGGAAAAGAATAGCTGCTTTTGCTCTAATGCAAACCACATCTGGTGACCTCATGACTATGGGACAGTCTGTCTTATGACCACCATATCAAGCTCTTGAGGTCTTGCCAAGGGGAAGGCAGGGTGGTGTAAGGCAGGTAGATATTCTAAGACCCAGAGTGATATTTGAAAGAAATACCAAAATAAGGAATCTAGAGACTCTGGTTTATTATTTGCTGAGTTAAAAAGATAAAGAGATTTTCAAAAGGACAAAAGGTTCCAATAAGTTTCTGATATATTTAAACTCTGAGGCAAAATAAAAAACAGGCACATTTTTGACCTGCACAAAAGGAGGTGATAATTAAATTTTATCCTAAATATCCACTAGAGGGAGCAAGGCAGAAGATAAAAATTCATAATATGATACTTAGCATTATCTTAATGCTATAATGCTCTGTGTCTGTCTCTTTGTCAGATCAACAATCTCATATTTAAAAGTTTTTAGTTTTAATCAAGCAATATTTATAACCTTTAATGAATAAGCTGCCAGTAGTTCAAAGCCAGAATATCTTCCTTATATCTAAGCATGTAAAGGATGAAAGAGGAAATAAAACAATGTCTGCAAAACACATACAACATGAATTTGTTTTGATTCCTTCAGGAGGGGAATTTTAAATGATGAACAACTGTATAGATCCTCAAATCACATCTTCACTAGAACTGAGACTACCTACTAATATTAAAGCACAGATAAAAGAATGCCATTAAAATTAAACGAAGTAATGAAAAGTTGTCCTTTCTCTTTAATGTGAAGAATAATAGGGTCCTGGTGACAGAACTCCTTCCCAATTTGAACATAATACTGAGGATGAAATGATAATGGTAAGTACTTGCTAACACCTCGTGTATTATTATAGTACCTCCCTGCGTAAATATGTAAATCGTTTTTTTTCCCCTTCTAAAGTTGTTAATCTACATAAAAATTCATGGGAGAAACTTAAGAGGCCCACAGTGGGACTACACACACTACACCACCCTGCCTGGATTTGTTCCACTAATCAACTACTCCAACTTCTGTTTTAAGAACAAGGGAATTAACATCCAGTGAAGTAAAGAAACCCACCCAATTTATACAATAAACTTTGAAAATATAATCCTATATTTAGGCATTCAGACATTTAGGGAGAGTATCCAGTCCAACAATGAAATGGTTACATGATTCCAAATTCTTTTGATGAGCATCTCTTTTACAGAAGTAGCAATGGTTTTTCTTTGGGAGGAATCCCTCTAAAAATTCAAACTTAGAAGCTCTGTCAGAGACGTGCTATTGTATGTAGCACATATATAAAACATGACATGGTAAATAAAAACACTGAACTCACCGTTTTGCCTTGGAGGCTCTGGGGACTGATAGACTGTAAAGTCAGGCCAGCTGGCATTGACCTCCTGTCAGGCACATAGACATGCTAGGAAAAGGAAGGTACAATATAGATTCTGTGGTCAATGTCAGTGACGAGAAATCTGAAGTTTACATTACAAAATATCACTTAAAATTTGCTATTACTGCTTATGAAAGTAGATATTAAAAGTTAGTTGCAGAGTGGTATCTGAAACTGCATCAAGGAGCTTTTCATACTGTTACATTAACACCTACTGGTTTACAGGCATACCTAGGAGATAACTGTGGGTTCGGTCCCTGACTAGTATAATTAAGTGGATATTGCAATAAAGCAAGCCAAATGAAATTTTTGGTTTCCCAGTGCATGTTAAAGTTATATTTAAACTATGCTGTTATTAAGTGTGCAATAGCATTATGTCAAAAAAATGTATATACCCTAATTAAAAGATAGTTTACTGTAAAAAATGCTAACCATCATCTGAGCTTTCAGTGAATCATAATCACTCATCACAGATCACCATAACAAACAGTAATAAAATGGTTTGAAATATTGTGAGAATTACCAAAATGTGACACTGACACGAAGTGAGCAAATGCTGTGGAAAAAGGGCACTGACAGACTTGCTTGATACAGGGTTGGCTGCAAACCTTCAATTTGCAAAAAAAATGCAGTATCTGCAAAGTGCAACAGAACAAGGCATGCCTGTGTTTATGCTTTAAATGAATTTTTTACCCATCTCTGATTCTGTAATATCAAACACTGGTCATGTGGAAAATACTGGTTCAGGGAGTTATGCAGATGTTGCCACATATCAGTATACAGTTATCAGTAACACACATTTGTTAATACCACCACTGATCTTGAAGCACCGGAACGCTGTCAAACTCAGTGGCAGATATAAGATTTCCACAATTCTAATATTTGCTTGAAAGCTCAAATTTGTCATCAGTGACAAATACTGTTAGTTGTTTCCTGGAAGTGACAGGGTAACATTTCACTTTGAGAAGTGTCTGTCAAATACCAGGTCTGAACAACTATTGTTTGTCTGTCATTCGTTCTTTCAAGTAAAAATGGTGTTTCATAAAAAAAGGAGCTAGTTCAGCTTGCAACTCAATCACACAAATCTCTTTCTGTGAGTCAACCGTAATATTGGTTAGTACTTTGGTACGCAAGAGAAATGCCTTAAGCATATTTCCCATTTCATCACAAAGAATATTAAAATGATATATAATGAAAGGTCAAGATGGAATATATTTTACTGCTTCATCAAAGGGTTTTTAAAGTGAAACTGCTATTTTATTTCTACTGCAAGTATGTGGTGCCAATACCCACCATTGTTCTTGTGATATCTGAAAATGGAAACACAATGAATAATGCCTGATTGCCATTATAAAATAGTTTTGAGCTTATTTATAGACTCCCTGAAAGGGCCACAGGAACCCTCAGGGAATCCATGGACATACTTTGGGAGCCACGGATCACACCAAGGAAAACGACAGGATAGTTTGAAAAAATTTTTCTGGCAATGTTTAAGAAGTTTTTGGAAAGAGGAACAGTAGACATTAGTTGACTGGGAACTAGATAGAGAGCACACGCTCATTTATATTTGTTGTTGAAACAGATGATAAATTTTGACCAAGACTATGAAAAATACTAATACCAGGAGAACACTTTTCAACCACACACTAATAAATTGCATTACAGCAGATTTGTCTTAAATATTGTTACTATTTATTTTATTTGTTTGTTTGAGACAGAGCGCATATGCACGCGCACAGGAGGAGGGCGAGAGGAAGAGGGACAAAGAGACTCCACGCCGAGTGCGGAGCCCCACCTGGGGCTGGGTCTCCTGACCCTGAGATCATGACCTGAGCCGAAATCAAGAGTTGGGTGTTTCGGGCGCCTGGGTGGCTCAGTCGTTAAGCGCCTGCCTTTGGCTCAGGTCATGGTCCCAGGGTCCTGGGGTCGAGTCCCACATCGGGCTCCCTGCTCCGCGGGAAGCCTGCTTCTCCTTCTCCCGCTCCCCCTGCTTGTGTTCCCTCTCTCACTGTCTCTGTCAAATAAATAAATAAAATCTTAAAAAAAAAAAAAAGAGTTGGGTGTTTAACCGACTGAGCCACTGAGGTGCCCTATTATTACGATTTTTTTAAAAATCAACCTTGATTTAGCCTTTGGGTATACAAAGTGTTAAAATATCGAACTTTGTTACCATGGAGTTCAAAGTGAGCCTTTTTTGTTGTTGTTGTTGAGGCAAACTAAAGCTTCCTCCAAAAAAAAAAAAAAAAAATCCCGATTGACTTACTCATTTCTACCTAATGCTTATTTATGGAAAAGTCAAACAAACTTTATGCAATGTTATAACTGAAGGATTCAGTCTGTCACAAGGATAAGAAAAGGTACATTTTAAAATGGTATAAAGCAAAAAAATTCTTTAGAATTAAAAAAAGAAAATGACAGATTCTTTTTCTTTAAATGATTTTTTTTTAAAGATTTTATTTTTATTTATTTGACAGAGACAGACACAGCAAGAGAAGGAACACAAGCAGCAGAGGAGGGAGAGGGAAAAGCAGGCTTTCCGCTGAGCAGGGAGCCTGATGTGGGGCTCGATCCCAGGACCCTGGGACCACGACCTGAGCCGAAGGCAGACGCTTAACAACTGAGCCACCCAGGTGCCCCGAAAAACTCTTTTTCATTTTAGGATAGACATTAAAGAAATGGCTGCATGTAGGCTGACTGATCAAAATGACCGCTTTAGTATTATAAAAAGCTAACTAACACAAACCACTCTGAATTCACTCCAAGTAATTTACTAAGCAATGCTTAAACCAACTGCATGTACAAAGTAGATCATGATCTCTATGTATATCTTAATTTTAAAAAAGTACATATACCAGTAAGCATTATTATTCTAATATTAAGTTGGGCATCTAAGGAAGTATTTCAATAAGCCACATATGCAGCTGATTAGAAGATGAGGCTAGCACTTATCTTAGCAAAGAGCAGGATGAGCTTGATATATGAATGCAGGTATGCTGTAAGGGGGGAGGTGTAGAATTTTCAAGTGTGTGAAGAGCCAATAAATATGCAAGTGGTCTTAACCTACATGGAAAGCTGGTGAGATATGCTATCCAGCACAGAAGAATGCATAAAGCATCTGCCACTTCTTTGCTCTTGAGGGACGATGCATTGCAAGCTTAGGTTTTTATATGTGAGATTTTGATACTGCAGATTATTTTTGCTTACTTTTTAAAACAAAAGAGCTGCCTTGCTTACCTGCTCCCTATTTTCTTGTCTTTTACATTTAAAAGAAGGAACAGTGTGGCCAAAAACAAAACACAGCCTCCACAAAGTAGTAGTTAGCACAAGCTGAGCAGACATCTTACCTTAGGGTGGTGGGCTCTGTGCCTGTGGTCTACCGTCACATCTGCTCTCTGAATTGGGGAAGATACTTCTGATCTGTATGTTCGTTGAGGGGAGTATCCCTGATAAGCAGCTATTGACCCATGGGAAGGTGATGTGGGAATAGAGTGCATTGTCTGATCAGAGATATTAACCATGGTTTTAGGACTGGTCAAAGTACCATGACGAGGGAGGGTGCTCTGCTTATTATAAAACTGGCGCTGCTGCCACTCGTAAAGCTGCCACATCGTGTCATCTCTCATTGATCTCCGTTTCTCTTCTGCTCCAGGTCCCACTGTTTTGTCATGAGTGGAAGGGGTGATGCTGCAGATACTCTCAGGCCTGGTCTTGCTGTTTCTTGGGAGTGTTCTATAACCTTCTGGATAGCGCGCCATAACCTGTGCTCTGTGGCTTGGCATATTTCTTGGTAATGTTTGGTAAGAAATTACTCTAAAATTAAAAAAAATAATAATTGAAATGTAAAAATGAAGAAGAGAGTTGTTTTCCAGATTCTAAATGAGAGTACATTCCCCCCTCTTCTGGTAAGTAAAATATATATCGGGACTTACTTTTAAAAAGTTGATCATGGGATATAAAATATTAATGAACAGATTTTAACCTTTTTATGAAATTCAGTTTGATGAATTTACTACATTAAGTAAAAAAAAATCTTTGTTACTTACATAAAAGACTATTCCATACAACATACAGTTTGGTTAAAAAAGGGAAAACACTTATTAGTAAGAATGTCCAAGGTCTAATCTCAAGTCTGTCTCCTTATCTTGTTTTCATTATCAACAGACCCCTAGAATCTTTTCATACATCTCACCAGAACAGGTGAGTGGGAATCACTGTGTAGGAATGGAGTACTGAAGGGCGTGAGCTGAGCCTACATGGCCAAAAGACAGGAAATGAACTACCACAGGTGTGTGTGATTCCTCCATTGCAATGCTTCCTTCATAAAGCATCACTATTTCTGGGAAGAAGTACATCAGTACATTTGTGGTTGGAAGAGAAAATTCCCCCTGATAACTTTTCTTAATTTGAAAAATAAAAATGACTCGAAGCTAAAGCTCAAAACTGAACGTAAAGACAAAAATACTCCAACATAACAATATTTAGGTATACAACTGTAAATCTCAGCAATTTCACATTTCTAGCATAGAAATGAATATTCCACCTTGGTATAAACATTTGTGGGAGGCTTTTTAAAGCAATCTAAAATTTCCCCATAGACATTAAGCATCTAAAATAAAGTTCTTTTAAAATGCCGTAGTTTTGGACATGGATACATTAGGCATATTACTAAGCAAAAATTATTCCAGTTTCCTAAAATGAAAGAATAAAGTAGAATTTTTAGTTTACAATTTTTTTAAAAAAAGGCACTGTGATAAAAACACTGCTTTGAATTTATCAAAACTATCCTTTTGCTAACCTCATGCCAGTAGATAAATAAAAAGAATTTTCAAAAAGTCAATTAAAATTTTTAAATAAGTTAGCATTTGTGTTTCCCCACTATCTTCAGAGGTAGGCATAAGGTGCAATTACAATTCAAATTCTAAATGCAAACACAACCTTTTTAATTAACAGTAACCACAATAAAATCTAGATTTAAAAGATCAATATTAAATCATAAGTATTCATCTTATGCTAGCATCTATATTGGGCATAAACTTATATCCTAATATAAAATGTAATTCAATAAACCAAATGTGGGAGAGTTGGGGTCCCATAAGCCCAGGTTACCTGACCTCTTCTTTCAATGTTTAGTTAATACTTTTCTTCTGTGTACTGTATTTTCAACACAGAATATATTTTGGAATTGTGCATATATAATTGCATAATATTTTGCTGCCTCCTACTGGATGTTAAAATGCCCAAAAGGTTGGTGATTACATAGACCAGAAAATTTAATGTGTAAGTTACTTGACCATATTCTTCAATCATCTGAGAATCCTTGGCTGACAAGCTGGATGTCAGAGCTGTTTGACCCAAAGACTGTTGTCAGTAACAATGCATACTAATGTACTGCAGTAAGAAAAGACTGCATTGTGATTAGGTATAATGAGCTGGGTGCATTTGAGCTATGAAGTATGGGGAAATAAAAACCCCTGCATAATTTGTGCCCACTAGGGCAATAAAATGATGTTACCTTTACACAAATACCAGAGGTAGTTTCAAATATACCTTTTTGTGGCTTAAAGCACCCACAGAGGGGATAAAGCTGTGAAAAACACAGCAACACAGTGGAAAAAGAGTAAAGTGGAAAAAAGCAGTTGATCCAAAGCCAGGAGGGCCAAGATCCTTGCTCTTCTACTAAGTACAAAGACCTTGGAGTTCATCTGGGACCCAGAGAATGTTGAGTGTGTGGTGGGTTTTTTTTTGGGGGGGTAGTATGTGTTTTGAGAACAGGGTAGGAAAGACCAAGAGCACATAACTCCTTTTAATTTTTTTATTATTTAAAGTAATCTATACACCCAACATGGGCCTTGAACTCATGACCCTGAGATCAAGAGTCCCAGGCTGTACTGACTGAGCCAAATCTGGCAAACTGAAACTTTTGGAGATTTGGTTTTATCATCTATAAGATGATCCAATCACAAAACTATCTTATAGTTCTAAACTCCATGTCTTATTATGTATTTGAAATATTTCCAATTCCTTCAACTGTTTCCCTCTAAACTGAATCTCCTTCATCATGCTGGTTGTTCTTCAGCTTCTCAAAGTTTTCACTTGAAACAGGCTTGCTCAAAATTGAACATTGTGCCTCCCCCTCCCCTCCCCCCACAATCCCCACAAGAACTATTGCAAGCAAGGCTAATCATCTAATGCCTTTGGGGCTGGAGTAAAGGAGAAAGGTACCCAGTACTCTGGTATAACCAGCATAAAAGTTCACTTCTTTGCGGCTTTCTTGCCACAAATATTTCCTATTTTTTTCTCTGCTTGGTCTTCCTTCCTTCCTATCCCCACCTTCTCTGTTCACACTAAAGCTAGAAAATGGAAAAAGTCCAGAGCTGGCAACCCCAAGGCAATCTGCTTGGGAAGCACAGAAATAGATTCCATCCTAGAAATTCTGTCCTACTACTAAAGCAATTTACCCTAACATACCTTGATTTGGTCATTCACAAATTCAAGAACTATTATAGAAACCTTAATATGCAAAGGCTCTGTACTAAGCACTGAACTATATCATAGAAGAATATACTAATAATATAAATATTAACTTTATATGCAGTTTGGAAATATGGGAAAAGATTATTTATAAACATATCAGGATGGGACATACATTGTTAATCTAAAATACTAAAAACTGTCTATAAACTAATGTTTAAATTCCATTTCAGAAAATCTATTGCACTAAACACCCCCCATCAGTGCTCTGAAGCATTCACAATATGTGAGCTGGACCCCCCTCTTGTAGAGAAGTATATGGAACTTGAACTGTTAACATACCATACGATCATTAAGAGGAGGCTAATTAATGATTACAAAGTTTAAAATGCTCTTCTGCCATCTTTGAAACTACTTTTGAAGAATTTTAATAGAAAGTTAGGTTATTATCAAGTAAATTTATTTTTAGCCCATACACTTTCTAGCATTTTGAGACCTGTTTTTCAAAAACTAGTTTCCTTCAGTGGTTCTCCCCAAAGAAATTCAAATTAAGCAAAGTGTGATTTACTTTTAAGTGAAAGCTTAAGAAATGAACACTGTAAGCTCCTTCATCAGGTTTGGTGCTCCATTCACCAGCAGCTGCCTGTCAAACACCATGAAAACCGTGTCCCTGTGATTCTGCCAGGCAGAACAATGGATTAAGGCACCATGCATCTTAACAGCGCCTGCCACTCACAAAGAAACTTTAAAGCTCTGTTCACAGATGCAGGGATCTACTATTTGATGAAATATTAAACTTTTCTTTCCATCAGAACTTTAAAAGCAAGCCTTTCATAAAGTTTTACAAAATGAATTATACTATGAATAACCGGTAATGCTTCTTTCCACCAATAAAAATTATTTAATTACAAAACATCAACTGTTTTTTAAATTTGAAGTTCATATGATAATGTAGAATTGATCTATCTCAATGATCCAAAGTAGCTTCTAGCCAGTGAATCCAAAGTTGGAGGGGAGAAAAACAGAGAAAATCTTAGCTCAAAATAAACTTCAGAAGCTGTAGGTCTGCATTCAAAAGAAAGTCACACAGAAAGCCTTTACGTATGTTAATTATAACCATCAAGAAACCCAAAAGTTCTTGAATTCAACTAATATTTATGCTCAACAATTAAAAAAAAACCTAACTTCCAGATGTCTGTCGAACCTCCTTAACTATACATTTTCAACTGTAAGAAAGTATGAAATCATTGAGGAACGTGATTTAACTAAGAAGTGAGATTTAATTTGCTGGGTAGAGATTCAGCAAATTTTCTGGCTGGGATTTTTATTATTGTTTCCCTGAAAATGGTTACCTTAAGTACTATCAAACATCCGTTCATCCCCACCCCCTCCCCAAACTAACTCTGGCATCTCTTCAGCCAGAAATTAACAAATATGTCTCACAATTTTCCCTTGGGAAAATCAGAAAAGTGAGTGCTGCGGGTGGAGAAGAAGAAAATGAAAGTGAACATATTGCGGGAGTGTTTTTGCAGTGCTGGTTGAGATAACAAAAAGTGCACCCAGGCCTTTGAGCTGTTCCTGAAAGGAGAGAGACTTTGGCTCACAGCCGCAGACGTCAGCCACGCCAACTGAGCAAACTGGAAGAACGTTCCTATACCTCACAAGTTTCACTGTTAAGTTAATCTTCATTTAACCGAAACACATTAATGTCATTGTTCTGTGGTTTTCTACTACTGAGAAGTAAGAGTCACAATAACTCCTCAGGTAATTCTTCCCACTACATTAAAGTATTTTTAAAATTTTGCATCACTAAATTCCTGCCTAATGATAGAACACTGTTTCTCATTGGTAGGTGCCTGCTTTTCCTCCCTCTCCTCTGGCCTTCATTTTTCATCTCCTTTGCAGGCCCCCACAATCTGCTTGTTCCCTTAAATGTAAATGTTCTTTCAGGTTTTCCTCTAGAATCTTTATTTTATCCAGCCTCCAGCTGAATGAATTTATCTTCTCTCATCCTTCCCTGTAAGTACTTTTGATATAATGATGATGTCCCAAACCTTACTCAAGTCCAGATTTCTCTTGGGAGCTACAGACTACAGGCACCTCAAATTTAACCTGTCCAATCATTTATTACTTTCTCTCTTTCCAAATCTTCTCCATGAGGTTAAAGGCACCAAACCACCCTTGATGATCAGAGGCCTAAAAGCAGGGTTTCATTCTTGATTTTCCCTAACACTCAAACCAGACTGCGTGTGTTCAGCTTGCAACACTACCTCTTACTGGCTGTGTCTCTGGACACAGTGTGGAAATTTATTGTGCTTCAACCTCCTCTTTGGGAAATGGGGATAATTGTAGCATCAGGGTTATAGGATTGTGTGAGGACCAGATGAGTCAAACTAGACTAGGACTAGTTTGCAATCAAGCATGTCCAAGCACTCAACTAGTCTTGTCAGTCCTACCTCAAATACACCCCCTTTCTTTCCTTGTTTCACTTACTCCTATAGCTTTTGAACTTTCTCTAATCTGTTCTCCAGATTCTGCAGCTAGACAGATCTTTCTGAAACACCAATGTGAACACATCTCTTCTGGCTTATCTCTCCAGCCTCCTTTCTCCGACACCATCACAGCAGATGCATCTAAGCCATACTGGATTTCTCTGGATTCCTTTTCCTGCTCCCTATCAACTCTGCAGTTTTGTAGATCTAAACCAAGATAAATATGCCACTTTTTTACATTTCATTTTGTATTTCACTTCCTGCAGAAGGGTTTTCCTGGACCCACAGGTTGTGTTGGTTGTCCCTGTTCTTGTAAGTATCATGTTCTTCCTTCATTTTGTCACAGTATACTGGACTTGTTTATTTAATTTTCTTCTCTACAGGGTAAGGACCTCTTTGAGAAATCTGGACAGAACAATGGGAGACAGAGAAAAAACACTCATGTCTGATTACAACAAAGAAGGGAGACAGAAAGCTATAATGTCTAAAAATGCAATTTAAACTACTATTTTTCAATAGGTGTGTCAGAAACCATCTCCACTGACATGGTGTGAAAGAAATCTGGGTTCAGAACACAGAACAACAAGACACTTACCCCCTGGTTTCTTCTTCATGGCCCCTCCCCTTCTGGATTTTAATCCACTGTTCCAACTGTTGCATTGAGTTTGTCCTCTGGATGACTCGATCAGCCTCTGTGTGTAAGGGCCCTGTATTTGGGTGATTTACACCTCTAAGATCTGCCAGGCTAACATTGACTGTTTTGTTCTCCGAACTATTCACATTGACTGGCCTATAGTGTCCAGTCTGAGCTGGGCATGTTGACCCGCTCTCATATTCAGATGGCAGAGAATTCAACTTTACGCTATTAATTTTTGTTAAAGGTCTATCTTGACCATTCTTCTGAAATCCATACTTTTCAGCTTCCAATGCCTTTTTCTCTTCATTTTTGCTTATTTCCTTGTTTTTCTGGTTATTTTGGACCTCTGGTTTAATCAGCACTCTATGGTTGGGAAAGTTATTGATTTCTTTAGTTGGTGCATTTTCAGATGTAATCTTGTCCACTCTGAAATCAGAGAAGAAAATCATAGTAAATCAGCTGAAACAATGCATGTGTTATTTCTTGGATTCAATCTAGGAAAAATGCAGAATTACGTTTGACTTTATGAAAAAAACTGAAAGGGTCATAGAGGATAAGCCTATATAAATCCCTAATGTTGTGATATGAAAATTCAAGTACAACATCAGAATGCGTAAATAGAAAGAAGGTGGGGGGAAGAAAACAAAATACACAGTGTATAAAGCACTGAAGGATAAAAAGTGATGAGTGTCCCCGTTAGAAATCTGGAAATAAAGCAAATTAGGATTACCCTTTGAGAGTAAAACCACAAAATCCACACTTAAAGGACCACAGCAGCTAGTCATTTGAAATAAACAACGTGGCTTCCAGCCAGGAGGGTTTAACTCCTCTTGAGACAAACATGAGTCTGGTTTGTGGAAATGGCTACACCAAGAAATTATAGTCTGATGCTGTCGAAGATCTGCACCATATGACTAACTAGTGTGTTTGCATTCAAGAGGACCTGATTTTTGGTTAAGGGCTCTCACAGCCAGACTGTGTGTGTTCAGCTTGCAGCTCTACCTCTTACTGGCTGTGTCTCTGGACAAGGTGTGGAAATTTATCATGCTTCAACCTTCCTCTTTGGTAAATGGGGGTAATTGTAGCACCAGGGTTATAGGATTGTGTGAGGACCAGATGAGTATATCAGTGGCTGCCACACACTTTATTACTATTATCATTCTATCTATCACACAATTTTGAATTAGAATGTGGCATTCCGTGTCCATCTCCCCACTGGAAGAATGTACTGCTTAATAGTACGTGACCGGGCCACCAGTTTTATTGCTCACCATTCCAGTCATTTTACCTAGGTCTTTTTGATGAGAATCAGCTTCTCTGAGACCAATCACTTCCAGACTCTGACAAGACCAAGCTGAGTGTCTGAACCTGCACGAAATCGCCAAGATCGTGCCAAGCTGGGAGGCCTTTCCGGAACTGGCCAACCGTTCACATTTCAATATGTACTAATGCTCCTATGGGATCCTAATGTGGTACTGCTGCCAGTGTTAGTGACAAGTGGGAAATATATAACTTGCACATATACAGTATAGATAGTTTAGAATATGATGAGTGAGGAAAACAATGGAAGGTGACTACTTTTTGTAAATTTGCGTATGATCCATATATTTAGGTTGGATATAACTCATAGCTTGTAGATTGGAAACCATATTAGACACTGGGAAAGTTTACTAAGATATGCTATGGAGTTTCTTTCTCTTAAAAGATAAAAGATTTACACTAAAAGCACATTTATCCTTATTAAATTCTAGGGGTGAAAGAGTGGATTTAACACAGAGTATTACATACCTGAAAAAAAAATTTTTTTTATCTGAAAAAGAATTTTAAACTTAGTTACCTCTAGTTAATTAAAGCTATTATTTTATTTTTTTTTAAAGATTTTATTTATTTATTTGACAGAGAGAGACATAGCGAGAGCAGGAGCAAAAGCAGGGGGAGTGGGAGAGGGAGAAGCAGGCTTCCTGCAGAGCAGGGAGCCCGATGTGGGACTCGATCCCAGGACCCTGGGATCATGACTGAGCCGAAGGCAGATGCTTAACGACTGAGCCACCCAGGCGCCCTAAAGCTATTATTTTAAATTAGAACAGCATTGCCTTTTTTATTTTGATTTTTCCAAAGACTTATCATTTAAGAAATGTAATAAAAAAAGACATATATACTGACTTTTCAAATGGGAACAAGTGAATTTAAAAGAAATGAACTATCTAGTTAAAAGCTAGATGTTTTATCTCTTAGGTGGTATGCTCTGATAAATATCTGTTAAGTATTCTAGCCATACAGGAAAGAGAGGCCATTACCTTAAAACCAAGCAAACAAAATCTCCCTGTACTTATGAAATATTACCATAATTAGGTTCCTTCAGTTTGGGAAATATTAAGTGAGACCAACAAGGCGGGATAAAAATGCCAGCAGCGAGAAGTAGAACAAAAGACATAATTCCTACAGGATAATGGTGACATCAGGCTGGGCACATGGGTGGTCTTCAGTAATTTCTGGCTGAGTAAATTATATCAACACAACATGCTAAAAATTATTACAGGCACATAATCAACTAAGAGCTTGTCAGAAGTCCAACCAAAATACTATCATTTTTATCACCCTAAATTATGAGTAATTATCAGTTTTTAGAGTGGAAAATTAAGAAAAAAATTGAAGTTGAAATTCTGAGATAAGGAAAACATACAATATGAGATTATCTGGAAATCATATATTTAAATTATGACACTGATTTCTTTATTTTAAATAGTTTCTTGAAAATTTTACTCTAAGGTTAAAATTATCTTAAGATTTTCAATTAATTCTTTTCACCTACACATTTTCCCTAGCTATCTGTGTTAATCATCTCCTCTTTATGTCCATTTGGGTAATTATTTTTTTTTAAAGTAAACTCTACACCCATACACGGGGCTTGAACTCATGACCCTGAGATCAAGACTCCCATGCAGCACCACCAATTGAGCCAGCCAGGCAACCCCCATTTGGATAATTTTTACACATGAAATTCCAAAAGCAAATTTTCCTTTTATTAGCTTTCAACTTAGAATATGCAACTGGTTGAGTTTTTTTTTTTTTTTTAATAGGTGTCCTAGTGTTTAATCCGGGTCTTCCTTTCTTTTCTCTCCTTTTTCCTAGCTCTAATGACCAGTGATTGGTTAAGTTGATTTGAACCTGATATTGAAAAAAAATAAACACAAATATATTTATATAGCATCAACTTCATTCAGTCTTTTAACCAGTCAAAAGACTTTATTAATATGTACACTAACCCTCCTCCCCATCAAAACTAAAGATTTATATTGTAACAGCCCCCTAATTCCCTGAGAAGAGAGAAAAAAGACCAAGCATGCAAGTAAGCATCTTCCTTGTATAAGATATATGCTCAATTGCTGCTGACTGGAAAAGAACTTAATTGTGTCACAGATTTTTCTTCAAATTACAGGAATACAATTTTTTAAAAGCACATTATTCAGCTGCTATTTAAGTAGTTTTATAAACAGATTTCCTCTCAGTAGTTCTTAACATAGTTCATTATTAAAATGATTTAGATGTTCAAGCAGAGAAAAAGAAATCACAGATCAATTTTAGTAGTACATATTTATATTATCAAGGACTCTGAGTACTGAAGTTTCAAAAGAAAGAAGGTAGAATTCATCAAGAAATAGACATATTTAGAAATGATCTTAATGAGTTGTTTTCTGGAGACATTTATCATAAAACCATCAGAATTAACCAGCAAATGCTGAAGAAATGAAACTCATCAAAATTTTTTATTTCTATTTATTACACTCCAAAAACATACAACATAATATAAAAGCACAATAAAATTAATTTCATGAATATAAATTCTATTTGAGGATTTAGGCCTTAAAAACACTGTCTTGTGGTTTAAGATAACAATTAAAAATGTACTTACCGGAAATTAAAGGTAATTCTGTAAGAAGAAAGAATATTCAGTTTGAATGTTAGGATTCTGTATTCACCTCAGTACACTGATAGGTGAAAATGAATAGAGGAAATGTGGAATAAAAATGCAGGTGGTATCTCAAATTAACTAAAGGTGTGTTAATTTAATACAGAATATGAATTAATCCTTGCTTTCTGAGGAAGAAATGATTTCATATCATGACTAATAAAATGATATGTACTATGATAACGATATATACTTGCAGGGCGTGGATTAAAATGTAAGTGACAATCACCATTATTTTCCCTACAAGCCTTTACCTTTTCACAGGTTCTGTCTGTACTAGGGCAGCATCTAACATGGCTTTCATCCACAACTCCATTTCCTTTCCTGTATCAGTGCAGAAATAATAGGTCCGCATGTTTGGATGGGCTGCCTGATTGAAAATGACAGGATCATTGTAGACAGATACACGGGATCTGTAAGAGAAAAAGAAAGACAGTTAAGTGGTTCCCTACATGGATCATTACTATCAACTTTCAAAGAAAGCAGACTTGGCTTATACCTAGTTACAGAAATGACTGACTTAAAATAAATTCAATCTTGAAAATATATAAATATTAAAATGTCCTCCCAACATTGCCATTTTTCCTTTGAAAATCAAAACGAGGAAAAAAGGTGTATGGGAAGGAAAGGAGGTAAGAAATGAAGTCCCTTGTCATACCTCCTTGCCATGCCTGTTCCATGTATACACCCCTAGCAATTTCCATTTACTACAATTCACACCTCTTTATTCAAGAATGTTCCATAAAAATAGAACTATCAAACAATCCAGCAAATCCCCTTCTTATTCAAAGAAGAAAACACCAATTCAAAGAGAAATATGCATTGGTGGCTCAGTTGGTTAAGCATCTGACTCTTGGTTTTGGCTTGGGTGGTGATCTTGGGGTCATGGGATGAAGTCTGGCATCGAGCACCATGTTGGGTGTGGAGCCTGCTTGGGATTCTCTCTCTCTCTCTCTCCGTTTGCCCCTCCCCCTGCTTGTGCGAGTGCTCTCTCTCTCTCTCTCTCTTAGATATATAAACTCTTTAAAGACAAAACAAAAAAGAGATATATGCACCCCCAATGCAGCATTATTTACAATAGCCAAGATACGGAAGCAACCTAAGTGTCCGTTGATAGATGAATGGATAAAGCAGATGTGGCAGATAAACACAGACACACACACTGGAATACTACTTAGCCATAAAAAAGAAATGGAATCTTGCAATGACATGGATAGACCTGGAGGGTATGATGCCAAGTATTACAAGTCTGACAGAAAAAGACAAATATTGTCTGATTGTACTAATATGTGGAACCTAAAAAACAAAACAAATGAACAAACAAAATAAAACAGAAACAGACTCAAAGATATAGGGAACAAACTTTTGGTTACCAGATGCAGGAGGGATTGGAGGGTAGGCGAAAAAAAAGTGAAGAGGATTAAGAGGTACAAACTTCCAGTTATAACACAACTAAGTCACAGGGATATAATATACAGCATAGGGATACAGTCAATAATACTGTAATAACTGTACGGTGACAGATGGTAAGTAGACTTTGAGGATTCTTTCATAATATATAAAGATATCAAATCATTATGATGTACACCTGAAACTAATTGTATGTCAATTATACTTCAATAAAAAAAGAATGTTCTAGAGCAACCAGCAATAAAATTAATAGAAATGTACATGTCATAGTATTTCCCCTTTGTGTTAGCAATTTCTTTAGTCTTCAAAAGGTGCTGCTGTGAAAGCATTTTGTTTAATCCTCATAGACATCTACACACAAAAATAAAAGATTTATAAATGATCCAAACTGGTATTTCCCTTTCGCTTTTCATCTCAAGTGTCAGAGTTAAATAAAATGTAAATGTTTTGGGTTTGAGGAAGGCCTATGTAAGTGGTAAGTGGGTTTTTATCTTTATAGTGGTTCAATCTGCCTCTGTTCCTGAGAAATGGAAGAAAAATGAAATAAAGGCATCAATGAGGGACTGCTATCCCAGGTGTGAGCACTGAGAGCTCAGCTTAGCACGTGGGCTGATGGGGCAAAGAAGGACAGCAGTAGTAGCTGTATCAAAGTAGAAAAAAAGGCCAAAGTAGAGAATTCTGTGGAGGAAACATTCTTAATTTCCATGCAAAAATGCCTGTGACAGTTTCCTATCATACACGGAAAGACAAAGAAAAACAAACAAAGGCTATTTCAGCATACAATGAGGTAAAGGAGAGTATGAAGTACAGAGTTAGTCCGCTAAATATAAAAATTGGAGAGGAATAAATCTGGAGCCACACACTTTACTCCGAAATCTTGACTATCTGCTTTGTTTACAGTGTCAAATTAGCTTTTTCTAAAAATTTCTTTCAGAAAGAATTAAGACAGAAATAAATTCAACGAACACAGCGATCCAAGTAACGACATAAGCAACAAATCTCACTTGACCTTGTTGGAGATATAGTTTTATATCTAAAACTATTATGGAAACAATTTAATAGAAACAGCTCAAATGCTACGTGTTGTTAAAATGATTAAAGGCACGGCAAAGTATCCCTGGACTGCCTGAATCGGGCTTTAGAGAAATGAATGAAAGACCACTGTCCACATCTGTGATCAAGGGAAGGAACATGGGGCTAATGCTAAGAAGCTCGAGGTACAGCCGTGACTCCTTGCTAACAAACCACACCCATGCTTGCCAGGGGTCAAGCAGAAATAGTTGCTAGATGATGATGGAGTCTGCTCTCTAGCTTTAAGTTCCACAATTGTCCATGAAGTTTCTACTCACCATTGTGATAAGCAGTAGTCTCAATGTCAAAAGTGGCTCATAAATTTGGAGGAAACAAACATTGCAAAAGAGAGAATTTGAGAGAGAAATTACTCTCCTTGTTAACAAGTAAAATAAAATTAATATCAAACCAAATAATTACAAAGAAAATATACTTAACATGCATGGTCACTGTTACTGTGATTTCAACATTCTAATATTTAAGAGTCTAAGAATCCAGCAAAATGTCCTACAAAGAGTACATTCAATGAACTTTTGCCAAATTGATGAGCAAACAAAAATTGAATTCAAGATCAAATAACAGTATCATAGAGTCTTACACGTGGAAGTAACTTTTATCACATTATTATTTTAAGTTACCAGTATTAAATTTTGTTACAGCATCATCAGTAATTAATTCTGTTTCTCTGGTTCACATTGTTAATACAATTTATTGAAATTCCATGCCTTTCCCTTCTTACCCACAGTGTCTGCTCAGACATCACCTTCTCCTTGAGGCCATCCATCACCCCACCCCCATTCTAACTTTCCTGCTTTTTTCTTCCACAGTTAATGATGCAATACGTTAATTAGCAAAAGTTGTAAATCAGCTGCAGTCCTGAGTATTCTTTAAAAAAGTGGATGGGCAGTGAAAATGGAATCAATTTTCTAGGGGTGTAAACATTTTCACTGTTAAATTACAGCATGTGTTACCCTTCCTTTTCCCCTTTCCCTTCAAATGAAATTTTTACATCAAACCTTTCAGAGTTGTTAATTTAAAACTGACTTAAAAAAATAGATGACCTCTAAAATTTATTTTAGCCACAGCCATAAAGCAAAGAATGCAGTAGGGCTTTTGAAAACAAAAATAACCAAGTTATCATTAAAGTGGCCTTTAACTTGAGGTATTTCACAAACCAGCATATCAGAAGTGGGTGGGTATTGTTAGTCAGAGGAGGGGGGCTCAGGTTTGCTTGGATTTAATACTTTTTAACGTCTCAACATCAATATTATCTCAAAAGTACCCAATGTTCATTATGTACTTAGACCCAAGAACATCTTTGCAAATATTCTCTAAGATCATAAATGTACATATGTTAAAAAACCACAGTTGTTATCTCTTACAGTACTCTTCCCCCAAATTTATTATGAAAAAATTCAAACATACAGTAACCTTTAAAGAACAGTACAGTGATTGCCAGGACACCTACAGCTATAGTTACCAATTATTAGCATTTTCACGTATTTGCTTTATCTAAAATCATTCTGAAGTACAGACATAAAGATGCTTGGCCCTTAGATATTTGAGAACATGCTTCCTAATTAAAAGGGTCATTCTCCTACTCAACCTTAAGACTATTGACTTATTTTAAAAATAAAAATGACCATCACTAAAATATCTTTTTGTAATTATCTATGGGTCAATATCCATCTTTTTAATCAGGGCAAGATTCAAATACAGAATTAAAATAGTATGGCTATTTCCTTACCTTAAAAGCGTATTTGCGATTAATGTGATCCTCAGAGGTAAGCATAGCTATTTGAAAACTAGGTAATAGTATGCTTCCCAGGATACCCTCTTCTTTCTCATCTAAGACATAATTGAACATCTGATTAGCATTTTAAATGTTCTCATGAAGCAGAATAAATTTTCTCAAAATTTATTTTGATAAAATCAAAAGGTTCTTATATATAAATGAACTGGACTCATGTGTCGTTTAGATAGTTCTTTATAAGGTTTTAAAGGAAATATTAAATAGCACAAGTGTATATACTTCTTCACTTTCATAAGCTTCCCCATCCTAAGCAAATCAGAAATGGTTCTCACACATCAGAAAAATGTCAATTAGACATAAAAACAGCGTACATTTGTTTGGCATATATACCACATTCTACAAACCCCTTCACATGTGATTCATTGAAAATATATTAGCATATAAGTAACAACACAGAAACCTTACAAAGTCAATCTACCCACATTTCTGGTAGGATTTAAATGCCCAACCATTTCAAGCCAAGACAAACACGCAGCTCACTTGCTCATGCCCTCCAGTCTGGCTCAAATGTCTCATTATAAAGCCTTCCTGGACCACACTATTTTTAACTGCTTCCCATCCCAACCCAACCCAGAGCCCTGTCTTCTCTTTCTGGAACTTTACTGCCCCTACCTCCTCAATACCTTAGACATACAATTTGCTTTATTATGTATTTATCAACTCTCTCTCCCCTCTAGAATGTCAACTGAACGAAGACATTTAGAATGACAGTAGATGCTAAAAAACATTTGAATAAATATACATTTTAACCTATGCTGTAAGAATTATATGATTTTTAAAACATATAGCTGTGGTTAGCTTTTACTAGTCATTCTGATACACAACAAAGTTATGGGAATAAATTACAGACCTACAAGGCAAAGCAAATAAAACACACCCAGGAAAATGATAAAACATTAATCTTGGCACAGTATAGATTCACATTATTAACTTGCTGCTTGGGGGCAGAGATGTTTATGAAACTCGAAATATATAGTTCATTGTTAGAAACCCATAAGACAACTTAATTAAGCTGTACATTAGGCTGATGAACTCAGCAATGAGAAAAACCATAAATGAGAAATAATTCCTTTTATTATGCTTGCCATGTTTTTTATTATCATAAACTTAACAAGGAATTTTATTTTCCCCTCATTTCTAATATATATGGTGAAACTTCCAAAAGAAAGTTGCATTCAACAGAGGTTATTTCTGTAGCTTTTCTCATAAGGCTACAAAATTCTGCCTCTTACTATACTAATAAATGAAAAGAATGAACACAAGCGCAGATTTAGTCTAAAAGGTAAAAAAAAAAAAAAAAGAGGTAGAAAGCAGTCATCAGTTATGAGAATATGACAATTTAAAAGATGAGTCACATTCTATTTTAAATCCAATTTTGTTTATATAAAGCATATAATCAGAAACAGCTCATGAAGTCATCTTTATTAAAAGATCATTTTTATCAAATAATACATTCTCTTATGTTGCATTACTGGAAATGGTGACTTTTCCTAAAGTTCTTTCAGAATATGCACAGGCACTATGGCATAGGCTGATTTCACTGGATCATCATGAATGGTTTCCCAGATGGACACTAGCAGCTATGAGATCTTGGCAAGTTATCGATGCTGGGTATCTCAGTTTCATCAACCATAAAACTGAGGAAAACAGGGCTTACTGCAAAGGACTGTTGTGAGGCTTAAATGAGCTACCAGACATGAAAAACTCAATAATGCACTCAGCCCATTTGAAGTGTTCAATAAATACTGCCCTTATTATATAAAACTAAGGGCACTGCATATATAAAAAATCTTCATCTTTTGTCAAATGACTATCCTAAGAGTTTTTCACTAGATTCTTCAAATGTTCCTAATCATGACATTCTTCTGTTTAGTTCTGTCAAGCCTGACCTAAGTAACTGTCTTTTACCTAAAGGGCTTCATACACTGACAAGCAAAGAGTGGGTACTGATTATCTGTAGAATGAACAAACTCTCCAGGGGGGGTGAGCTGGACCTTTGTTAGACTGGATGATAGCCCAACTCCCTCTGTCCCAACATACTTCCTTCCCTTTCCTGCAGGTATAATGGTCCCCTGAACACTCCCCAATGAGCCTCTTGCACATTAACCTCCATCACAGAGCTCGTGTCCTGGGGAACATAACCTGGGACAAGAACCATAAGAATCTCAACATTGATTAGATTCAAGTTAACATTTTAGACTCCCCACTTCTACTTCAGCTTTAAAGATGTTTGGGTAAAAGACAAAAAACACATATAATTACAGCTGGGTACATAAGTTACAGACTGGAATATTATTACTAATTATTATTACCTAGAATACTTCAATACTTTGTTAATTGGTCTCCTGGCTTGTAGTTCAAGTGCTAGGGTGATTTTTCTAAAATGTGCATATGATCATATTATTATTCTTGCATTTAAGATTTAAGAGTTAAAACTCATTAGGATGGTAAACAAATGACTTTTGTGCCTCAATCTACTTTTTAGCCTTTACTCCTGCTATGTCTGCAGGCATAACTTTCATTCCAGCAACATAAGCCCCATGTGCAATTTTACAAATATGCCATCCTCACACATGTTTTGAACATGGACTTACCCTTCTTTCCTAATTCTTTCCTTGTACATCTGGTTAACACTCATTCAACATAACTGAATACTATGACAGTCTTTCTTAGACTCCTTTAGCTAATCTGTGAGTTCCATGAAGAGAGGAGTTTATATTGTTCACTTCTGTATCTTACTACCTAATAATATATCTGGTGTACCAAAAGTGCTCACTGCTAGCTACCACCTTACTCCGAGCCATTATCATTTCTACCTAATAACCCCTAACTAGTCTCTGCTTCTTTCCTTCCTCCTTATAATCCATTTTCTAAGAGCAGCTTGAGTAAGCTTTCCACAATGTAAATCAAAGCATATCATTCGTATACTGAAAAACATCCCACTGTTTCCTTACAGTATTTACAGTAGAATCGAAATTCTAGTAGAGTCTGACATTGGTGCAATCTTCATTCCTCCCACCTGCCTCCCTATTGCTAGTCCTCCAGCTGTGTACAACGGTTTCCTTCTGCTCCTTCAATGTTCCACTTTCCTAACGTCAGAGCCTTTGCACTATTGCTCCCCCTGTCTGAACATTATACTCACTCTGGCTCTTCATCATCATTTAGACCTCGCTATCTAAAACGTCTGCTCAGAGAACTGATCCAAAGAAATCTTTCCTCCATGCGTGTCTTTCATATGATGACCTTATTTTTCTAAAAGGACTTACCATCATATTTTTTATTTATCTGAATTTATTTACTGTCTCCCTGATTCCTCTAGAATGAAGCTTCATGAGAGCTTTCTTTCACTGTTTTGACAGCACCTGGAATGAAGCAGGTCCTGCTCAATAAATATTTGTTGAATGAATTAAGTCCCATAATAAGTTTTGTCAGCAGACAGACTGTAAAATAGAGCAATCTCAGTGTTCTGTCATAATATGCCCGCTACTTTGCAAAGAACAGTGGGAACTGAGCTTCCATCTGGTATTGGCTGCTAACCTATTATAAAAAATAGCAAATCACTTATTTTGTCTTACTTTCCATATCTGTGAAATGTGGACTGATTTGTCAAAAAATTCTGACAGTGCACTGTGTATGTCACTATACTAGACACTTGGAAAGATACAGAAGAAATGAATGGAGCTGCTGTATTCAGGCCGTTAAGAGAAGAGACCTGTGTAAGGAAAAAACCTGTGGTTAAGAGAAGTGCATATGTATAAATCCTGGCTCTGACACTTGCTAGTTGTGAGACCTCAGGCAAGCAATATGACCTCACTGTCCTTTAGGGTCCTCTTGTGTGAACAGGCGAAGTAAGACTTCCTACCTTGTTAAATGGCTATAAAGAAGAGATGAAATAGATCATCTATGTTACATGCTCAACATACAGTAAATGCTCAAAAAAATGCAAGGTATTATAATCATCTCACTAAAGTCTGGTAGTTTTTATTTCAAATATGACAATTCCTGTTGATAAAATAGTGAAAGTGTATAATATCATCTACTCATTTCCAACCACCAAAAGTGCAAAAGTGAGTTAAGTGATATTTCTTCCCTTCTTATATTTTCTTCTTTTTTACATTGCTTCTGTCTGGCAAACCATACTAAAATTAATAAATATATTAGGTGTAAAATGCATATGGTTAATAATAATATGGAATCTCATATTCAACATGGCTTCTGAACTCAACATTTACATTTTTAAAATTAGGTTAAAAGTTTTTCTATTTTAGTAATAGTCATAAGCAGTACCTTTCCATGAGCAACGACAGCAAGTTATAAGGAATTCAGTGTTCTTTTTGTTGTAAATTAACATTAAGGAATTTTATATGAGAATAGTAATAAATATTTTCTTGTTCTTATTTAAAGCTCTAAGTAGACTATAAATAAACTGCAAAAGAGAGAACTACAAACTATAAGCTTAGAAATAATGCCTGAGTTATATATAACTCCTGACTTTCTGAAAGAGTGGGAAAACCTTTAAGGGAAATTGTAGAGTATGGTTGGTACTTAAACTAAAGATAATATCAAACCTGCTGCCTGACCAACATCTCTATGACAAAATGAAATTTTATAGGTTTGGTTAATTCCGACTCAGCAATGCTTCTCAACCATAGTTTGCAGTGGGGGAAAAATAGATGAATACAATTCTAGTAATTTCTAATTTGAAGGTTAATATGCATTATATTGCTCTGACAGATGACCACAGAATTTCATCACACTCTTTTGGTATAATCACAAATTTTAAAGTTGTTAATTAGTTCTAAAATCCTGTTATAGTTTGTGAAATACTTATCTAGAGAAGTTATAAATTATTAAACATGCTTTGACAATCTAATCCTTTAGTGACTGTTTCCAACTGGACTTTAAAAGTAGGAAAGAAAGAGCTACTGTCCAGATTAATGATTTTATATTACAGCCGAAGCAGACTTTTCTTTGCTAGGTACCAAACGTAGTATCTAACAGATCCATACAAGCACAGAGCACAGACTTCTCTGGACTTTGCTTTAAAATTGTATTAATCAATAACTTACTAACAAGAAAACATATTTAAAAAAGGAGTTTATGATATCCATATAGGAGAAATGAAGACCATTACCCCATACCTAAGATAATACCTTTATTTCCTCTACACCAACATTAACAGCCTGGTATATATCCTTTACACAATTTTCTCCATGTTTCAGGGAGGCTGTCATTGTTTTAAAAAAGAGGCGGGGCAAGGAGGGTGGAGATCATAATAAGTACATTTCTTTGCACTTTAAAAAAAAATTTGCCAATATATCAGAGTAATCTCTGATACTCTCAAGACATTTACTGGGGAGTGTGTTCAATGAATCAATAGCTGGATCTAACAAAGCTGACACATAAAAAGAATCTCAACAAACTAATGACTTTTATCTAGTAGGCACTGAATTCAAGGATAACATTACAGAGTGAAGATTCATATGTTATTTACATAAAACAAATAAGATTAACACAAACTATAGAAACCAGACCAAAACTCAAGACTAATCTGCTTGAAGCACTATACTGCCTTCAGTCCTACCTCAATTACTCAGTATTATATATGGATGAAGAAAAGGTTTTCTGGATACCGTTTGTTGATAATAAAACAGCCAAAGAACTGTAGTGACTTTTTCTTTAAAAAAGCATCCATGGGGCACCTGGGTGGCTCAGTCATTAAGCGTCTGCCTTCGGCTCAGGTCATGGTCCCAGGGTCCTGGGATCGAGCCCTGCATCGGGCTCCCTGCTCAGCGGGGAGTCTGCTTCTCCCTCTCCCACTCCCCCTGCTTGTGTTCCCTCTCACGCTGTCAAATAAATAAATAAAATCTTAAAAAAAAATTAAAAAATAAATAAAAAAGCATCCACTATTTAACACATTCTGTTGCAGTTATGAAATAATACGCTAAGACAGTTTACGGGAAGCTCACCTCTGTAATAAAAGAGGCAGAGGTCGGAAAGCACGAACCAGCGTTTCTTCCACAGCTTCATGCCGGTACTGTCCTAAATTAAACCAGCATATTAAAGGGTTTTTTTTTTTCATTTCAGAAAATTCAAATTCATTTCTGATGCATTTATTTAAACTAAGTTTTTAAGACAAGATGTATTAGATATAGGCTGGACAGAAACCTAACTAAAAAGCCAAAATATGGAGGACCTTTTCTAGAGACTTGGATCACATGAACATGAAGATATTCTCAAGTATACAGGTCTCTGAAGAGTAATACTCTCACGTGAAAAATACTTTTGACGCAATCTGATTCGGCTTCCTATTTGTAAGCAATTTGAAATTCACTTTTCTGAACACACATGTCTGCTAACATGAGGATGATGTAACTATGCAGCATTGTGGGTACTCTGGTAAACCAGATTTAATAAGTATGTTAATCTTCAACAATAAGAAAAATATGTGATTTGAAATTGTCCCAAAGGTAATGTGATTTAAAATGACTGTGAATAAAGGAAACTTAGCATACAAATACATTTCACAAACATTTGTTCTTCTTACATGTACAGTTTGGGTCTTGCTCATCCTGCAAAAGAGAGTGCCTCTGTGGCAGCTTCTTCTAAGTAATTCAGTTAATAAAAATACCCAGCTCAAATAAAATTACAATTTTAGTAAAAATTACCTTCCCCCATGCAATAAGGCAAAACTGCAAGAGAAAATGAAACACACACACACACACACACAAAAGCAAAAAAGAGGCCAGTTTGGATATGTGTTAATATTTCTTTTTATTTCTAGTTGTAACCACCTAAAAATGACTTCAGAACTTAAATTATATAGGTAAAAATCTCAAAACAAAACATTTGTCCTTAAAATTGACAGTTACACCAAAGGACCAAAAAAAAAAATCTTTTTAATGGTATATGGTATTTTCAGTTTCCTAGTAATATTCTTTAATACAAATAATTAAAAAATTTAGACTTTTAAGTGACTCTGCAAACAAACTCTCTGTAAGTCACACACCTATTATAAAATAAACACTCATGGTAGAGAAACTGGTTGGTAACACTTTTCCAATACAAATTAATCAAGGCATCAAGAAACGAGAACAAAAATCATTTTAAAGAACTCCCATATCCTCTATTAGGCTCAATATTATGCTAAGCTATGTGAACATAATTTGGACTCATTAGAAAGACTACTTTTAAAAAAAAATCTTTCAGGGGCACCCTGGTGGCTCAGTTGGTTAAGCTGCTGCCTTCGGCTCAGGTCATGATTATGGGGTCCTGGAATTGAGCCCTGTATCACAGGCTCCCTGCTCAGCGGGGAGTCTGCTTCTCCTTCTCCTAGCTGCCCACCCCCCCACCTGTGCCCTCTCTCCTGCACACTCTCTCAAATAAATAAATAAATAAATAAATAAATAAATAAATAAAACCTTTAAAAAAAATTTTTCAGCTTGGATAAGTTTAAATGTCAGTTAAAATATACAGGATTTTAAAATAAAAATTAAAAATTGATATTCAGGTTATATACTCAATCAACTCAGTGGACACTGGCAAAACTAATTTGCTTGAATGATTGGGAATTCTCTGGATTTTAAGAGGGCCTTCTCTCGGTATGTGTTTAGCTGTCATCCCAACTTTCAGATGGAACAATGAACGTTTCATAACAATTTCATTATGAATTTTAATTACTATAATTATTAGGTAATCTGAAAGCAATTAGCAATATTTGACCGAATAACTAGCACCATCAATGACCTAATATTTAACTTGCTTTGTATCATCTATGTACATGTAGAATCAGAGATAGAGCAAAGACAAAGGTCTTGAGTGCCTAGTACATCATCTCAGTTATCTGGTGGTCACTTGGAAACCCAGCTGCAAACCAGAAAGTAAAAAAGAAAACAGCCTCCAAGCAGTCAAAACAGATGTCGGAAAGTCCAATGTACATGCATCCTTACTAATTCTCAAAGTAATGGCAAGGTTCCAAAAAAGCTTAGTTAACCAGGTTTTCCAAACAACAGAACAATATACACCCCCAACTTATTAGGGTATCTGAGACTGAACCATGCTGAGAGAGTAGCCTTGAGAGCCTAAAAGCAAAAATTTGAGAAAAATCTGAAAAATCTCAATTATGATCAGATTTCTCTGTAAATTAAAGCAAAGAAGTATATAATTGTACATTTAATGATTTTTATATGAATAGAAAAATGAACAATACCTCTGTATGTTTTCTTCCCCCATTTAAAAAATGTTTCTGCCTGGATAAATTTAGCATATTATTGCTAACATTTTCATGCAGTGTATGTTTAATTTCAAATCCAGAAATACCTATAACAAACACACACAATCTCTGTTCTAAGTGACCATTACCTTTTCTTTCTTTACTGTTCCCCTAACAGTCTTCGGTGGTAATAAAAAGAATCTGATGACTACTCTACAGTTCCTTCTCCAGTTTATATAATTGTCCTAGGTGCATTCAGCTGAAAAGGTCTCTTTTGATTCCATCTTTCTTTCACATCAAATAGAAAATAAACAGAAAATACCTGTTTATAAAGCCAACCTCGCCTGACCACAGGTGCATTAGGATTCCTTTTAATTGAATTCGATCTCTTTCCAAAATTGTGAACTTTTTTTGAAGCCCGTGAAGTCTAAACAGAAAAAAGCAAAACAGAAATTGTGTTATTAGTGCGTAGGTACTTATATTTCACCTTCAAAGTTTTATCTCTTCCGATTTCTCTGAAACTTGTAGGACTTAATCTTTTCAGGTGAATTATAACAATTCTGCATTTGAGGACTTGTTTATTTTATGTGTAAGAATTCACAAAGAATTTTTCCCTCAGGATATTACAAAGAATCACAAGTTTTACAATCTGTCCTTTAAAATTGGGACGTACAATTTTTTTTTTTTTAAGAGAGGGAGAGGGAACAGAGTGCACATGCACACGAGTTAGGGTGGGGGGAGTGGGGTGGGGTGGAGAGGCAGAGGGAGGAGAGAGAGAGTCTCAAGCACACTCCATGCCCAGTGTGGAGCCCAGCCCGTGGCTCTATCCCTTCACCCTGAGATCATGACCTGAGCTGACACCAAGAGCCTCTTGGTTAGGGTAACTGACTTTTGTCTTCAGCTGAGGTCATGATCTCAGGGTCCTGGGATCAAGCCCTGCATTGGGCTCCCTGCTCAATGGGGAGTTTGCCTGAGGATTCTCACTCCCTCCTTCTGCCCCCACGCCCACCCGTGCTCTCTCTCTCTCTCAGAATAAATAAATCTTAAAAAATATATAAAAAGGCACAATGTATGGCAGTATTTTGTCCTACCTGCTATATAAATTGAATAAACCTTGGGTAAAAATGAACAAATCTTTAAGGATTAATGAAATGTAGAATTTTTTTGCTTGCTATCTGCCTTTAATAGTGTTGTTTCAATTACAGAAAGTGAATAGTGTCAAGTCAGGTGTCAAGAGAAATACTCAGATATAAAATATAAAACATGTCACATCAAGTCAACAAAAACTGGAAGGATCTGCTTAATGTCATGTAGTGTTTTCTCCTTTATGGGCAACTCTGAACTTAAACGATATGAGACAGATGGTGTTTACTGTATTCTTAAAAGTCTACATAAGGATATACAATCTTCTGAAATACTGTTATGTTTAGCATGAAGATTTATTTTGGCAGGAATGGTAGTGGTAACCAACAAAAACAAAGAAGCTGAATTTGAGTTCTCTATAAAAGTTATATTAAATTATTTCTAATTTTTCAATTTATCTAGAATCTAGCATATTCCACTAGAATTTGTTTTGAAGCTTCTATTAGTACATAATAGAATGTTAGACTCCAAGCATGTTTTGTTGATTAATTTTAACTTACTCTTGAACATATACATGCTTAAACACAGTATAAAACTCAAACGGTACACCAGGACCCGTCTACTTCTCACCCCTGGACTCCAGCACCCAAACAACTTCGTGAGGCAACCAACATCAACTGTGTGTATGTGTGCATCTATTCATTTAAAATAACGGTTTTCATAGGTATGGAGTATCTTTTCTTCGTCAAATGACTACATATGTTCTACTACTTCTGTTCCACTATTTCTTGGAGCTTATTACATAAAGAAAATGACTATTTACCCACAGTGTTGTCAATGTACTGTGCAAGAAAACTTTTTAACCTCTGAAAATCAGGTATGTGAAAAATGGTGTCCTTTTTTGATTTTAATTAGCATTTTTCATATTATGAGTATGAACATCGTTTTCATATATTTAACAGTAACATTCTGTTTTTTGGGAAGTGATTTTACATAATTTTCCCATTTAAAACCTAGGTTGTAAGCCTTTTCTTTATTGATTCACAGAACTTCTTTAATTATAAAGGTATTATTCTTTAATTGTTATATGAATTGCAGATATTATGCATGCATAATAATTAGGTATGGTTCAATCTCTCATTATTTTTATTTTGATTTGTGGGTTTTATGTCATATTTAGAAAGCCCATCTGCATTCTGAGTTTGTTCGATTTTTAAAAATCTTCCATTGTTTTTTGTAGTTTTTTATAGTTTTGTTCTTAACATTTCAGCATCTGATCCATCTGGAAAATTTTTATTGTAAAGTTTGAGGCACAGACCCAACTTTCTTTCCAGATAAATGATTTGTTGGCTGGCCCTCAACCTACCTATCATTTCTCTAGATTTTGATGAAAATATATTAATGAAGCACTATAATGCTCAGTTATCCTACTAGCATTTTATATTATATAAGAATTTAAAATTACTTTATTTGGAAATTTACATTAACTTATAATACTCTACAAAATTTCATTTTAAGAACATTAAAACAAAAAATGTTAAAACAGGCATTTAAAATCACTGCCTATTATCCATTTCTTTACAATAACCATAATTTAATATTATAATTGTCCTACTATATTTATTTATTTTAAAGAGAGAGAGAGACCGCACGAGTAGGAGGGCAGAGAGAGAGAGAGAGAGAGAGAGAGAGAATCTCAAGCAGACTCCACACTGAACATGGAGCCCAACGCAGGGCTCAATCCCAGGACCCTGACATCATGACCTGAGCTGAAATCAAGAGTCAGATGCTTAACTGACTGCACCACCCAAGCACCCCTATATTATTTTTTAATGAATATTGTTCTTGTATTATCCCTCGATTATCTTGCTATCCATTAATTTAAGAACTGAGAAGCAATTTTAAGGCAATTATTTATTCAGATTTAGTAGCATATTTTCCAAGAGTTTGTTAGAATTTTCATATTAAAATTCTGAATTTAAAATATCAACATTGTGGTTTAAAGTATAAAAAGCAATAAGTATAAATTTTTATAGACACAGAATGTAGGATCATAGATTAAACAATTAACATTTTTCTTTCTAATTATAAAGGAAAACCACCCACCTCTATTCCCATTTGACTATGGCACTTTCTATATCATGGATTCTAAATACATCAGAGTCATCAAGCACACTGGCATAGGGTTTCCCTTTGGCAGTAAGGGATTTTACATTTATTTTTAAAAAGTTTGTCTGCTCGGGTGCCTGGGTGGTTTAGTCGTTAAGCGTCTGCCTTCGGCTTAGGTCATGATCCCAGGGTCCTGGGATCGAGACCCACATCGGGCTCCCTGCTTGGAGGGAAGCCTGCTTCTCCCTCTCCCACTCCCCCTGCTTGTGTTCCTGCTCTTGCTATCTCTCTGTCAAATAAATAAATAAAATCTTAAAAAAAAAAAAAGTCTGTCTGCTCAGGGGCACCTGGGTGGTACAGTTGGTTAAGTGTGTGGCTCTTGGTTCCAGCTCAGATCATGATCTCATGGTTGTCCGGCTCTGTGCTTTGCACAGAGTCTGCTTGAGATTCTCTCTCCTTCTGCCCCTACCTACCCCTCCCTGTCTAAAATAAATAAATAAATCTTAAAAAAAAAAAGTTTGCTCAACCTAGGCATATATATAACAGTCAGAAAAAGGGATTTGTATGCCATTATATTAACCTTCATCTTTAAAACATCAGTTAATTCGATAAACTGCCATTTTTTCACACAAACATCCATTATATTTGTAAAATTATTCAAAATCTGAACTCTACAATATTTTTTAAAAAGTCATTAAATTATTAAAACATAATCTTATTAGTTTATATTCCACACACCATTGCTTAAGTCATTTACCTCAAATGTAATTAGGTTCATATAAGAGTAAAAATGACATGATTATTCTATAATTTTAAGTCCATTAAGAGTAATAGTAATAGATGCTACCAATTATACCAGTTATCAAAAATTAATAGTTAGTAAAATAACTTACTCTGCCTACAGGACTCATTGGATGCACCGCATAATCTGAAGTCATGTTATAGTTAGAAGCTTCATTTATCATGCTTATAGGTCGTTCCTTCTTCTCTTCAGATGTCATGGTTGCAACGGTCCTGCAAATACGTCAGAATGCTAAAACTTGCTGTATATGTTAACTGCTTTACAGTGAAGCTTCCGTAGAGATAACAATGCTGGTGTCCCACTTTTTCAAAATATTTGGATACCAGTTAGAGCTTAATAAGCTCTAGAGTCAGAGCTTAATATTTATAACTACTTTAAATAAAATTAACAGTTCTCCTAAGCACAACATAGGTTAAAATCATGTTTATTTTAATAAGCATTATTACAGATACTCTACTTGGTCATCTAACTGGAAAATTAAAGCTTCAGTTAAAGATTAACTATTCTAATATTGAAAACAATAATGATACCAAGAACTATTTTTTTGTGAACAGATTTATAGCATATAAAGTATTTAAAGTATTTTCACACATACTTCATTTGATGCTTAAAACAATCCTGAGAAATAATTACCACTATCTCTGACTTAAGGATGAGAAAAACTGGGCTCAAATGAGTTTAATAATTTGACCAAGTTTATAGATTTTCTGACCTTAAATTTCAGACTCTTGGGCTTACTATCTGTGCTTGAACTATTGTAAAAAGAGTTTCTGAGATGACATTCGTCAAGAAAGTAAATAGATGGCTTTCTGTTACACTGGACCGCAAATACCCAGATAAGAAAACTGTTAAACCATACTGTACTGAAAATATGGATAAGAGCAATCTTAATACTAATGACATTTAAAATGAAGGCATTCCATGAAATTCTTTACTTACTGTTCATTCACTACAAAAATACAATTGTCCTGTGATGGCTGTCCTGTGACTGGATGTTTACAGGTCACTTTCCTTTCGTTATGGCTAAAAGAGAAAAAGAGAAAATGTATGCATGTACTTCTATTATGACAAATGTTTCTCTAATATTCTGGTAGCAAAACAGTGATTTCTTTATTGTAACATTAGTAAAAAAAAAAGCGATGAAATTCGTACCTCCCAGGTATGCAATATCCAAATACACCCTTTCTACTATCTACCATGTATACAATACATGTGTGTGAATGCTATTACAGTTTTACCATATAGTTAAATGCACCTCCTACTCCCCACGCCTGACCTCAAGTCTTTCTTCTCACATTTTATAAATAAAGTTAAGCTGATTTGGCTCCATGGTCATTGCATTTTATATTTGAGAGGTGGGCCACCAAGAATGAGTATCTACCTACCTCCATTATTTTGTATCCTAATTTAGGCACATTATAGAGGACTAATGCCAAATTCACATACAGAAAAAAAATGAACAGTACTACTATATGGGTAGTAATAAAAACAGTACCACAGGAAGAGTAATATTTTATGGTGTTTGTTTTATTAAAGAATCTTTATATAAATAATGTAATGGGACTGAATTTTACAATACTTCAGGAAAGTATGTTATAGAAAATGAAATCTGAAGGAGAAAACAAAAAAATGTACAAACAACAGAAAGAAAGAAAAATCTACTTGTCTTTGCTGAAAAAAAATTTGCTTTGAATTAAGGATGGCTATTTCTTGGAGAAATACTATCCTTTTTAGGTGAGTGATAAGATTAGGTCTCCTGCTGTCTTCCTGAAATGAGAGGGAAAAAAAATTCCCAAACTAATTATCTAAACCAAAAATACTAGATGCCAAAAAAATATGTAATATACATTGATAAGTTAAATAACAAATATCCTTTGTAAATTAATATTTTCCCCGCTGGGTCACATACAATAAGGCAATCTGTAAGGAAGATGTATTGGTGTGCCCGACCTTAGAAAATTTACTTTTATTACAGAGAAAAATTTCAAGATGTTATAACTGAATATTGCTTTGTTAATCTTCAGAGATTATATGTGCTCTGTATTTCAGGAAGTCTATAACCATAAGACACAAACTTTCTGACAGACTTTAGATATTTAAATTCCTTTTCTATATCCTAACTTTCATTAATATTACTTTTATTGGTAACATAGTACTTGAAAGTTTATCCATGAAGTAAAACTAAAATCACAAAAAAGAAAAGGTACAGATACAATTTAAAAGATATTACATATTGACTATTGTTAGAGTAGAATGACTGATGGAATATAATGTGTTTCTATTATTCCTTTAGATAATTGGTTGTTATAACAAGTATATAGGACTACTAAATTATCAGCTTTTCCTTTTTTCAAGAAAATTTAAATTCAATCAATTAACATATAATGTATTATTTGTTTCAGGGGTACAGGTCTGTGATTCATCAGTCTTATATAATAACCAGTGCTTATTACAACACATACCCTCCCCAATGTCCATCCCCCAGTTACCCCATCATCAGTCCGCCCTCTTCCCCTCCAGCAACTCTCAGTTTATTTCCTTTTTTTTTTTTAAAGATTTTATTTATTTATTTGAGAGAGAGAGAGAATGAGAGATAGAAAGCACGAGAGGGAAGAGGGTCAGAGGGAGAAGCAGACTCCCTGCTGAGCAGGAAGCCCGATGCGGGACTCGATCCCGGGACTCCAGGATCATGACCTGAGCCGAAGGCAGTCGCTTAACCAACTGAGCCACCCAGGCGCCCTCTCAGTTTATTTCCTAAGATTAAGAGTCTTTTATGGTTTGTCTCCTTCTCTGGTTTCGTCTTGTTTCATTTTTTCCTCTTTTCCCCTATGATCCTCTGTCTTGTTTCTTAAATTCCACATACCAATGTGAGATCATATGATAACTGTCTTTCTCTGATTGACTTATCTCACTTAGCATAATACTCTCTAGTTCCATCCATGTCGTTGCAAATGGCAAAATTTCATTTTTTGATGGCTGCATAATATTCCATTATACACCACCCCATCTTTATCTATTCATCTGTTGATGGACATCTGGGCCCTTTCCATAGTTCGGCTATTGTGGATATTGCTGCTATAAACATTGGGGTGCAGGTGCCCTTCTGATCACTACGTTTGTATCTTTGGGGTAAATACCCAGTAGCGCAATTGCTGGGTCATCAGGTAGCTCTATTTTCAACTTTTTGAGGAACCTCCATACTGTTTTCCAGAGTGGCTGTACCAGCTTGCATTTCCAGAAATTATCCGTTTTTTGTGATGGTTTTGTTTTTATACAAGATTTCATGGGTTTAGAGGCGCCTGGGTGGCTCAGTCATCAAGCGTCTGCCTTCGGCTCAGGTCATGATCCCAGGGTCCTAGGATCGAGCCCTGCGTTAGGCTCCCTGCTCCGCGGGAAGCCTGCTTCTCCCTCTGCCACTCCCCCTGCTTGTGTTCCCGCTCTAGCTGTGTCTCTCTGTAAAATAAAAAATTAAAAAACAAAAAACAAAAAAACCCCCAAGTTTGGTGGGTTTAAATATTTATTTGGAGTGATATTTTCACTACAGAAAAGGTATGTGAGTGACTTTCTAACTTGTTGATTTACAAAAGTACAGTGGTAGAAACCTAAGGTCTCATCATGTGGGATACCAGTTTATGTAATAAGCAATAAATTGATTAACAGAACAACTAAGAAAGTATAGCCTCTGGAGATAAGTGGAAAATACTAAAGTACCCAGATGTGATTAACACTATGAATGCGTTGAGGTATGTAAATTCTGATGTTTAACAGAATAAAACACTGTGGGGGCAAAGGGGTAAAGTAATCTGGGATAGGGACTGGGATACCTTAATGATAAAAAATGGAGGATAGCACCTTTTTTTCCTTAAAGTCCCTCCTTGAAAGCATTAAAAAGCCAATGTTGGTTGCGTGGTAGAAAGAAGAGAAATACACGAATTCTTAAAAACAAAACAAAACAACAACAACCCAATATTGCAAAAAGAAAGCAAATAAACCCTTATATATTGCATTTTCCCCCTATGCTCTGTCACCTTGCCTAGGAGGAATACAGTATATGCTCTAATCCCAATATTCTGGAAGCTCTAAATTTTAACAACATGGCTCTGCAATGGTTATCTGGCTAACAGATGTCTCTGACATCTTGACCATTAAACAGATATGGGTACACATTAGAAGCATTAGACAAAGACATAAAGGAATGGAGATATTTAATAATGAATGGTTAAAAAAAGAGCACATTCTTTTCCCCGAAGTGGATGCTATTTTCAATTAAATTGATGTTTTTATTGTCCAAGTACTTTTCAGATCACAATGTCTTAAAATAAAACTAAATAAAAATCTTAGTGTTTCTATTTTAAAAGACCAGTGACGAAAATGAATATGAAATATGAATATATTTATGTTCTTTTATTTCTTCAAAGTATCCCATGTATTTTCTTTTATATGATGTTGATATTATATTGACATAAAATTCATATAAAATCTACAAGGACACTCTAACATGAAAGTCTTTTACAGGCATATTTTAGAGATACTGCAGATTTGGTTCCAGATGACTATAATAAGGTGAATATCGCAATAAAACGAGAAATGAATTTTTTGGTTTCTTGGCGCATATAAAAGTTATGTTTACACTATTAAGTACACAATAATATGTCTAAAAAAACAATGTACATACCTTAATTTAAAATGCTTTATTGCTAAAAAATGCCATCATCTGAGCTTTTAGTGAGTCACAATCACTGATCACAAATCACCACAACAAATGTAAAAATAATGAAAAAGTTTGAAATATTATGAGAATTCCCAACATGTGATAGACATGAAGTGGGCAACTGCTGTTGGAAAAATATTGCCAAAAGATTAACTCAATGCAGGGTTGCCGCAAACCTTCAATTTGTAAAAAAAAAACAACACATTATCTGTGAAGCGCAATACAGAAAAGTGCAATAAAACGAGCTATGACCATAATATTTTTTAATGAAAGATATAACTTTTCCCACTACATATATATAACTGTAACATAAAATAAGTCCTCTCAAATGTTTGTTTGTTCTGTCTTATAAAATACTCCTAAAATCTGGCTCCTGAGAACTAATTTATTATTATTTTTTAAAGATTTTGTTTATATATTTGAGAGAGAGAGAAAGCACAAGCAGGGGGAGGGGCAGAGAGAGAGGGAGAAGCAGGCTCTCTGTTGAGCAAGGAGCCTGATGTGGGACTCAATCCCAGGACACCAGGATCATGACCTGAGCCAGAGGCAGACGCTTAACTGACTGAGCCACCCAGATGCCCTCCTGAGAACTAATTTAAACAACATATTTATCAAACAGGAAAATCACAGTAATGTTTTCTAATTATTTCATCAAAAACAAATTAAAACAAAAGTTGACAAGCCAAAATATCAATTCCAGCTTTAACTGTTTAAATGTGGTAATTTTCCACCACCTGATAGGACTGTCAATGCTTACTGCTCCTGCAAAAATATATTTTTATGTACATTTGTATATATTTAAAAATGTATTTGTAATACATTTTTAAATTTTAAAATCATTCCTTCTTATGTTGGCATTTATACTAATATTGCATTTTAAAGTAAGTAATGGTAAGGGTAAACATAATTTCTTTCTTTCTTTTTTTTTTTAAAGTAGGCCCTATGCCCAGCAGGGAGCCCAACCTCACTGAGGCTTGAACTCACGACCCTGAGGTCAAGACCTGAACTGAGATTAAGAGTTGGCTGCTTAACCAAATGAGCCACCCAGGTGCCCCCATAATTTCTAAATCATACACAGAAACTAAAAATACAAGTTAAATGAATGCTGAGAGCCAATTAGTGAAAGCGCTGTAAATGAAATCCAAATGAGTCTTGATAAAAAATCTCCACAAAGCCACCTCTGCTAATGTACAGAATTCTTTGAACACATGATATACTAATTCTTTATTTTATACATATATACATCGCTATGTATATAATTGGTGTTATGCACATATATGGACTGGGCACTGTGGGAGGTGGCTGGCCCACT